CACAAGCAAGTCGGCATGGTGTCAATTGGTGGATGCGGAGATCTATATAATGCGCCCAAATATTGCTCTTTTTTATATTACATATCTTAGAAAGTCCTTTTATTTCGCTTCATTTTAGAGTACAACATTGATATTCGTTAATTTCTTGGGTCATATACTTCATTCTATTCTTTACTGATCGATCACCTCACGTTCGTTTCCTGCATGCTCTCATACATTCTTTCCACACAAATTTTGATTCCGATTACCAATCAATATTCCCCTTATCAAATGGCGCCCATGAATATTTAATCCAAATCATATAACTCGATATTCTGAAATTAAGCTAGTTACCGAATTATTGCATATGAAGAAATTATTTTGGATCGGTATGAGGATCCATATAAAATGGTGTCAACATGACAATATGGTGAAAGTATGGATACTACTGGTGCCATTTAGGGCACTTCCAATATATGAACATATTTCATACAGATCAAGAAAAATTTCAAATTTTATTAATTCTTTTTTAAAATATAACAGCTTTTTAACTTGATCTTTATTTAAGATATACATTTTTTCAATTAAAAAAAATATCTACACTTATAATAAATAAAAGACAAAATAATATATTTATATTAAAAATTTAATAAAATAATTTATAAATAAGATTTGAAAAAAAATTTCTCTTTTCATCTTATAAATAAATAGGACTAAAAGAATATATTTTATTTATTAGATTTAACTGTGGTTGAAGTGAACTCATCATTCCCACCTACTATTTTGTTTTCTTCCAAGCACGTGCGATGCGATATAGGCCGTTGGCGTGTTCGGATTTTAATTTTATTTTATTTCAAAACGAAGCACGAAACGCATCCTTCAATCCGAAGAGCCAAAATTCACATCAAATTTGATTGAAACTTTGATTCAGTTCTCACCGTTGTTTAACTCATCAAGTATCCAAAAGAGGCATCAATTAATTAAGCAGGACCCAGCTGTAGGGCTTGAAATTGAATTGACAAGCGGATATTTTATGCTTCACTCCGTTCCTTTTCATAACAAATAGTCTCTTTTACAGTGTTGCCTCTGAATATAAAAAAACAAACCTTATTTACCTGAGTTTTAAAACAGTCTTCACATTTTTATCCTTATTAAATATATGCTATTTATTATCAGTCTGTAATAAATTTTCGTTCATTATCCCTCGTGTATTCCATTTACAAATAAGAACATAATTAAAAAATAGGTATATATTTTATATATTTATTATTTTTAATTAAATTTAACTGATGTTTCAAATTACTTGATTTTGATGGTTGTTTTTAATTAATCAACACCTCAAACTTATTATATCTCAACCGTTGATATTTGAAATTGATGAAACCCAGCTCAATTTCTCCCATTGAGTGCGAAGGTGACGAGGTCAGATATGCATTTGTCATGAAGGCGGTTGGCATGAACCTTCAGATGAATGCAGATAACATGATAATACAGTTATTATTGGCCGAACGCCGTAGCCTTATAAAATCCCGGTCCTCACGCACTCGCTGGCCATCAATATCGCGTCCCGTACGTCAATATTCTCAGTTGTTTCCGATTCAAATCCGGTGGCAGATCAAATACTTTTCCCGCTCTTTTCCTCCCGTTTACAATCTTCGATTTCAGCTCTAAATGGAAGGAGCCTCTGCGTCCAATTCTGGTGCTGACATGGAACTAGTTTTCAGCGATTTCAGGGCTCGCAGACACGGTCTGATTAAGGCCCTCACAGAGGGTATCCGATCCGCTTTCTGTCTTTAATTTCCTGCCCTTTTTTTCGTCTTCCCCTGCGAGTCCTTCCATTCTTGATTCTTGTCGAATTTCTTTTCGTTTCCTTCTCTGTTTCAGTTGTTAATATATGCTTCTCTTGTGCAGATTTTGATGAGTTCTATCGCCGGTGTGATCCCAGTGAGTAGTTTTCATTCTGTTACGTATTAACATATCTTTCTCTTTAATCTCAGCTTCATTTCTTCTTCAATTCTTGAAAAGTCGGGGCAAAAAAGAAAGTATAATCATCCAAACCTTGGCATGTTTAGTTCGACGCGACACTTAATTCCGCTCACTTAGCATTCAGTGATAAATTATGTCCAGGCAAGAAAGGAAGAAATAAATTATTATTACTTTTTATATGATTTCATATGTCGATTAAGCTATCCCCTTATGTCTCTAGTTTCTAAAATTTTTGGTGAACACTCTATGGAGCAAATGTAGAATCCTTGGCGGACACGAATAAATGGATTAATCCTGCCTCTCTGTTTTTCCCCCCCGTATTCTTTTAGTTTTCTTCTTCTGCTTCTTTGTCGGGTTCCAGATTACCTTCAAATTAAAATTTAAGCAGATATTTTTAATACTTGAATTCTATTGAAATTTATAAAATAAACTAGGAGAGAAAAAATTGACATGCAAGTCAAGGGGTGGGATCAATATTCAAAATTTGTAAACGGCGGCGTTCTTGGCTTCTTATATCTCTCAGTTTTTAGTTCTGTTATGAGATTAGATGATGCTAGTACATTGGTCTTCGAGTGAGGATATAAATTGTAGGCCCACGTCATGACCAGTTATTGTGATACTACCTTCGGTCTTTAATACAAGACCCTGTTTGATTTTTAATTTGGTCCTAAATATAAGATCTCAATCCACTTTGTCACTCATATTTATGCATTTTTTTTAAGATAGTCCTTCTAATAATTGTAATTCTAGCCAATATAGTTGATTAGGAAGGATATTTTAGGAAAGACAATATCTATTTATTACAAATAACTAACTTAACTTCTTTCTTTAATCTCCTCAAATTAATCAACTATTATTATTAGAAAAATAAGTTTTGTAGATGGCTTGCAAAGTTAGCGCATGGGTTATAATATATCTATATAGGTAAACGTGGTGATTCGGAGGAGGAAGAGTTTCTTTGCCTATATGGATATCCCGATGGGCAGTGGATGGTGGAACCGCCGATGGAGGATGTTCCTACAGACCTTCCGGAGCCTGTATTGGGTATAAACTTAGCCAGAGATATGATGCCCAAAGAGGAATGGCTATCCTGGGTCGCTGCCCACAGCGATACTTGGTTACTCTCTGTGGCTTTCTTCATAGGCGCTCGCTTTGGATTTCGTCAGGCTCAAAGGTGCCTATGGATTTCATCAAGCTTTAGTTCTATGATTTGATCGGGACTTGTTAATGTGATGGAATTGTCATTCCTCATAAGCAGGCAGCAGCTGCATGATATGATTGAGGAGCTTCCAACAGTATCTGAGGTTGTCGTAGCTGAGATAAATAAGAAGAGGCAGCAGCAACGAAAACGAAAGAGAACTTCATCATCAGCTTCCATGCAAGAATCTTATAATGAGGTGTGTGCTTGCAAGTAAATTCACTGTGAAATTGTAACTGTTATCACTTGGAACTGCGAGAGACATAATCTGATAATTTGGTCGGCAAATAAATGCAGCGAGGAAGAAGTAAAAATATGGAGACAGAGACTTCGAAAGAAATGATGAAAGCAGAGGAGGAGGATGAGATAAAAGTGGAGTGGGTGCGTTGTTGGAGGTGTCACAGGCACTTCCATAGACAGTGTGTCCGCGATTTTTCTGCTAAGCCGCGCATTGACATTAACAACTTTCTATGTACCATCTGTCATTTGCCGTATGATACCCTCTGTCGTGTGCCGTATAAGTGATCGATACGTACCCCTCCCAAACACAAAGCTTCTTGTTGCGCACAGTGCCTACTTTTCCATCCTCGTTATTTTGGACACTGGTTTAGTTGTCGTTGGGTCCGGTTTCTCTGCAATGTCCTTTCGTTCCGACAGTTGAAACGATGTCGTTTTGTTAGCGGATGCTATATTTGGACCCTTTAGTATGATTGACAATCTTGATCTCGTCCTTTTGCGTTGCGCCTTTTATGCTCAGGTCCTAATTGTAGGACAAATCATCAAGTGTTATGAGAAATTAATGTGCAAAACAACGCACCAATCTTCTGAACAAGTCCGGATGGAAAGCAGGAAATATGGAACATACTGTAATAAATAATTTACTCTTCATTAATCTCTTTTTAAACGAGGAAAATATATCTCAGCATAGTGAGCTGAATGTGTTGTGCAAAATGTACATACATTTCATGGCTGAAAATTTAGTTAGCGAATAAAAATAAATAAAAAAATTCCGCCAGGAGAATTATGAAACAAAGCGCTTTAATAATTGAGCGACCGTTATTTGTACTGGAAAATATAATACATTTGGTTTCAACCCATCCCTTGTTCTTTTCGTCTACAAAATGTATATGATGGATTAAGGGGGTGTTTGGACAGAAACCAAACCATGGTTTCAGAAGTGCTTTTACGGATTACAAAATAAATATGTGGAGGAAGTTATCTCGTTTTGCGAAAAAGTGCTTCTGAAACTTAGGTTTTGGTTTTACCAAACACCCCCTAAATGGCCCATCCATGATACAAGAGAATCCTCCAGTTCTCATTTGGACCTCGTAACGTGTAGATGGGAAAACACGCGGCAGTCATGCGGACCAACACAGTCTACAACGGAAGCCACCTTCTATTCTTCAGGAGCGCCGAATATACTTTTGCGGGATCAGCGCCATTTTTTTTGTTATTTTTAATGCTCCTCACAATCATCATGTAAATATGAAGTGGAAAAAATTTAATCCAAATCCTATAAATCAATATTATCGAATTAAAAGAATATTCTTGAATACGGTGAAAGCATGGATCTTACATCAATGCATTGATTTTTTTTTTTTTAAATGTGTTGAAGGCAACTCATTTTCGGTTACTTCTATTTTCTTTTCTTCCGAGCAAGAGTTTGAGGAGAGTGATGGGATCTAGAACGTTGGCGTGTTCGGATTCTATCTTTATTTTCTTTCAAAACATAAAGGGAAAGTGGGAAAAATATCCAACAGCGAAAGTTTTGTGGCAGAAATAGTAACTTTTTGTCCGGATTTAATCGCAAACATCCACAATCTTCTAGAACCCGTCGAGAGTAGCAACCGAACATCCTGGAAACCTATGAACCGTTCTCTTTATTCATCCAGAAACTTCTGTGTTCTTCCACCAATCATTCTCTCACCCTCCTATAAATTCTAGGGTCCACCGGTGTTGCTCATCGTAAACAAAGCAGCTCGCGCAAAAGCAGAGTGAAAGGAGACTTCAGCGACTCCGCAGAAGAAGATCATGGATATCAGATTCTCCGCCTTGGATTCACCAATATTCCACGCTCTCCAGCACATGATGGACGTGACGGACGACGCTGCCGATAAGTCTGTCAATGGTCCGAGCCGGACATATGTGCGCGATGCGAAGGCTATGGCTGCCACTCCGGCGGATATCAAGGAGTATCCTAATTCGTACATGTTCATCATCGACATGCCGGGCCTGAAATCTGGGGACATCAAGGTTCAGGTGGAGGACGACAATGTGCTTCAGATAAGCGGGGAGAGGAAGAGGGAGGAGGAGAAGGAAGGAGCCAAGTACGTGAGAATGGAGAGAAGGGTTGGCAAGTTTATGCGCAAGTTTGTGCTACCTGAGAATGCCAATACTGATGCCATTTCTGCCGTATGCCAAGACGGAGTGCTCACTGTTACCGTCGAGAAATTGCCTCCGCCGGAGCCTAAGAAGCCCAAGACTATTGAGGTCAAGGTAGCTTAGGGGCTTTGCCTGTGTTCTTCTTTTGGGTTTGGACATTCACTCGAGATCTTTCTCGGTGAGTAATAGAACTGAAAAGACTATGGACTATTATAATGGGCTTCAAGCCCTGCATCGTTTGTAGGTAATTAGAGCTGGCTTTGTCGTTTGCTTGATCAGTGCTTGTAATAGTTTCGACTTAGCGTGTCTTTCGATTGTGGCTTTCTGTTAAATAAAGTTGTCTAAATTCTTGTTTCTTTAATTTTGTTAAGAGTTGTCTGGATACTCGCTGTATAAATTAAGATGCAAAACATGTTCGTTCTACAGAATAAGGAGCAGGATCACAACCACGAACGAAAAACTCGAAGGAAAGGTGACTTCAACTGGCCCAGGAGATGGTACATGTTTATAATTCTGAACTCACGAAAACTTAAATGGCATGTAATTAAATCCAAGGGAAAAAACCTTGACGGCAAAACATATCATCCTGAAGAGTCGGATAAGGGTAGCAAATCAAAACGAAGGGACAGAAGGTGGCTTCTGTCTCTACATTCTTGGGAAGACCATAATGCACAATGGCATTTCTGGCTCGGAGGGCATCCCACCAGTATCTGCTTGAATTTGCGCGTTCTGAATCTCGATCCCAAAATTGTAAGGCCATCAAGGCGTTATAAAACCTAAATCCTGGTGAAGAGGAAAATTTGTGGCATTAAGCCCCTCTTCATGTGGAAAACTCGGTTCTCGTCTCTATCCCCGCCGACTGAGCTGATGATATATCCACCTGAACATGTTAGTATGAATACAAGGCAATCTATATTTCCTTTTACGAAGGGTTATTGTTGTAGTGTAATTGTTACTAATAGCTCTTATGTCTTCTTTATGCGACCCTGCACCCTTCCTGGCAAACAAAGCAATGAAGAATCCTTCGCCATTCACAGCCGGGTCTGTCCGAAGCAGATGTTCAGCTGCAAGATAAGAAGCAGGCAGAATTAAATGTCCAAAGCTGATAATGCGCATGTCTCACTCTGGGGAACGAAATATAACTTCGGAAACAAAAAGTAGAACTCACAGCCTTCAAACACTGGAAGCCCACGGCGCTGCCATTGGGGAAACGGGGTCCCCAGGTGAAACCCATATGATTCAGCCATGGGAAGAACAGATATGATGACATCTTCATTCTCGATTTGATTGATAGAACATGTACTATAGACAATTCTCTCAACTGCGGGAACTGCCCAAGGAGAATAATGTTATATTTCCCACCAAGTTCAGAAACAATGTTCAGATTGTTTGGGGATGGCAAGGACTGATTGACTCGAATAGGTGAAATCACTTACAGGAGAATGCATGTTGAAGAGCTTTCCTCTGAAAACTGGCAAGCTTGTTCAATCTTTCCATATCAAAATCCTGGCCTGTAGGGTCAATATAGACAATTAACGAGAAGAATTGTCTTCAAGTGAAAGCAGACTTATGATAAAAGTTATCTTTTTGACAAACGGTTTGAGAAACAATGTCAGTTACTCTTCGTGCAACCACGAATTTTAAGTCATTTAGTGGCATTTCGAGAAGAGCAATACACTCCCAATTGCAAACAACATAATTCACATGGCATTTTCTTAGTTCAACAAGAAGACAAAATGCAGAGGGCTGATCATCCAATAGAAATTCCGTTGGGTTCATTCGATGCTCTCCAATAATGGTAACTGAGCACCTATTAGATAGTTACTTCAGAGGCCACAACAAGGAGGATCGCATCAATGATGCGGGCTTGCCAAGTTCCAACGAACTCTAGTAGCTGTTAACAGTATTCTTTTTTGGAGAATACCGCTGCACTCAGAAGTCCGGCTCAAGAATGAAGGCCAGTGGATAAAGTAGATATAATTACAAGATACTAGGAACGTAGGAGCTATATGCAACCTGCTGCTTTTGAAGGGAGCAAGTGGTCTAGTCTTGAAGAAGCAGTTCCAGAACCAGAGCATGAGGGATCCAAAAGAATAGCACGCACCTGCAATGATGAATGTGACGGTAACCATGCACATACATGCAGAAGGAAATAAACGAACAAAGAAAAACTGCGGTCTTGAAGACAGACAAGAACGGTGACTACACGGGTCATACTTCACTTCCTGAGAGAACCAGAATTAGCCATTCATTTATGACTCCTCAAAGCCAGGAAATGTCGAAGGGGAAAATATATTTTTACTTCATGTCTTTGTACAAGATACTTTTGACAGAATCAAATCACCCAGGAGCATTCGAGAGATCGGAAACTTCGTTATATAAATGACCAACAAAAACAATCTAGCTTCCTTTTGGGAAATAACCAAGGTTTGTAATTATAATGGTCGAGGGGAATTTTGAAATTTTAAATTCTGATCATGATATGCTCCCTTGAGTAAACTTGTTTTCTAGGACATAGCTTAATCTCCTTCTGTTTTAGTGCTTTGTAAACTTTAAAGCTTTATATATACATATCTCATTTTGTCAAAAAAAAAAAAAAAAAAAAAGAAGTAAAAGTTCCATGGAATCACCACCAGGAATAAGAAAGTATATTACTATAATTTACCTTAGAATACGGAGGAGCCTTGGGATTTATGTTCAAAAAATCCTCATTAAGAACTTCAATATCTTAACTTTGGTTAAGCTGAAGGCAGCATGATAAATTGAATAGCAAACCGTCAGAATATAAGAGATCACGAATATTCTCACAGAATGCATTATACTCAAATTGCATCTTTCATTGCGGTCCAATAGTAGGATAAGTACATCAGACAATTATCTGTCTTGTGTGAGTGAACTAGACCGTGAATCCTGTATTTCGCATGGAATCTACAATGAGCTGCACTGTTCATGGTTTATGAACAAAGCAGTTTCTTATAGATGTTAATAATGTCTATCTATATTGAAGATAAGAACAAACATGTGGTCACAGATTAATGTTGAAGGATACTGGAAGCACCAGAGAGTGTTATGGTCTCTTTCAAACGTTTGATCCTCCCTTTATTCAGTTCACATGCTATAACCCTGCCCTTTCTCTTCATAAGCGCAGCAAGGTGGACAGTTTTGTTCCCAGGAGCTGCACATGCATCAAGAACCTTCACATATATTTCAAGAGGCACAACTCTTAAGGGTTGGATATAATAATAAAAATATCACAGAAGTGACATGCATTTTTCCCTCTGAAAAGAATTTTATTATAGGGGGAAAAAATTGGAAGATTCAGAAGATTGCAAATATAGAGGCAGGCAAAAGTAATGTGGCGATGGGTGATAGTTCTCAATTCTCATACTAAAATATTTGCTTGACATGATATCCCGAATTCCCAATCTCGTTATGAGCTATCAGAAAAGAAGTTGTCTTTAATACAGTGCTCTTCTCTACTGTGGAGGAGCAATAGTTTTTCATGTCTAATTTATTCGAAGAGTAATTTTCACTTCAAAATCTTGAGATCAAGTTATATCCCATGAAAAATTTAGGAATTCGTGTTGGTCGTGGAGTCACCCTATGAGCGCTTCCCAAGTGTTTAGCCCAAATAACTCAATTCATGAACACAGGATACTCACAACAGGCTATTGCCAAAAAGACAAAAGGCGACTTTATTTAGTTGTTTTTCATTTAGAGAGTACCAAGCCAGACATTAAGACTCTTCAAATATAGTCTAACATATGTTATTAACAACAAAAATTAAAAATGAATGCAATGGACGAAGTGCATATTAGAAAGATAATAAACTTCTATCTTTTCACTTTTTTTTTGTTTTGTTTTTTTTTGGGGGTGGGGGGTGGGGAACCTCTGTACATACAGCATATTCAAGGCAGCATAGCTCACCTCCCATCCTGGTTCAGGGCCAAGGGCTGGCGCTACCATGGAACTGCCCTTACCCTATGCATATCACGGTCACAATATCAACAAAAAGATCACCAAGAATGAATAACAGGGGGAAAAAAAAAAGGAATAAAGAAAAGAAGGCGGGGTGCTTTTCCTATTTCTCGCGTCACAAAAATCCAATTTTCCACCAACCACATGCAGGTAATTATACATCCGCAAACTTGAAAGAAAGGTTATATTTTTTTGCGAGAGCCTCACATAAGTCCTACCTGCAAAAAGATTCCTCCATTCTTGACAAGGGGATGATCGTGCAAATCAGTGCCTGACGGGAGTACTAGCAAGTCAGGCAGCAATTCATCCTTTTTAACCTATTTGACATGCAACGTAAAAATTATCAAGCAAAATAAGCCTCTGCCAGCAAGAAATAAAATAAGCAAGTAAATAAAACGAACTATGCTCAAATGCTTCTTTCTTTCTTTCTTTTTCCTGGATCAATTCGTTTATATCATTTTCATAAAGGGAAAGGGTCAATATAAAATAGATATGATCAAGAGCATTGCGACTGAAAGTACCGTGTACTTTTTGCTCAGTTCGAGCAAGGCAGAATCAACATCCAGTTTAAGTGTATTGACGCGAACATAACGAGGTAAAGAAATATCTGGATCAGAACATTTTAACGCTAACTCATTATCAAATGAAAGATAGCTCCCAATGAAGCTTCAATCTAGAATACATTAATTTGCCAAACATCAAATGTAAATAAAAAATAATCCGCAGAGTAGTTATAACCTTAAAAATATACAAGCTCAAATAAATGTTTTGTGAAAGGGAAAGATGTAAAACTGACCAGGTACTTCATACAGCGCAACCAATTGTTTAATGCTCGTCACTTTTCTCCGTAACAGAAGCTGTTTTAGAGTTGACTGTAGGACATCTTTGTGACGAGAGAGAAACTTCTCTACGTCGCCAACCAATGAGACTGCCTGGAAATTGACTAAATTGAAGTTAAATAATCACTCATAATCCGCTACAACCTTAAAACTAGATAATGCGACACTCTCTGGTTATTAAAAAAAAAACATTGTTGGTGCAACCCTTGCCCAAGAAGCATGAAGGGGAAGAATAAGGAAACCTTCTAAGATTTAAAGGCCCCTCTCCAATAAAATCAGAAAACATTACACGCATCAAAGCTCTAGGGCACTAACGTCTAAGACTACAGATAACTCAGACGCATCACTTGCACTTGTATCTCATCCTCAAAGAAAGCGCCTGTTCCCACCCTATCCTCCAAAAAACTGACAAATTATCATGTAAAGAAGTAATTTCTAATGAGAAAAAAAGAAAAGGACATGGTGCAGTCAGAGGAAGTATTAACCTTTACGTGCTTAAACACATTACCTGACCAAAAAGAATATCGTAAACGACAATGTATATCAATTCTTCTTGTCTCTGTAAAAGCGACGGTAAATCTCGTGTTAGAGAATGTATAAACTGAAAAATGACTCACATTTATAAGCCTTGCACCAGCGGCGCCAGCAGAAATAAGAAATAACATCAACAACAATTATGAACATGCCATAATTTCATCGACATAGAGAGAACAAGCGCAATGTTGATATGCTTATACCTTCCACTTGCTGTTCAAGAGTGAAGAAGCGCCCAAGATCTCTTTGATGACAGGTAGGTCTGGGAACATGTGAAAAATACGACATAGTTGAGTTGAACTATTGAACTACACTATCTGTAAAAATAATAATCTGTAAAAATAATAAATTATGACGCCAGATTTACGTAACTCTAGTCAGGAATGACTCTTCACAGCCGTCATAAACGTAGCAACTTTGCTCCCAATGACGACTGCATTAATGTTATCATCATTTTTTCTCTTTTTACGCGACACATTAGACTACGTTAAACAACCTTAAGATGTGAACTTAGGAAAGGAAAAAACTTAAGACAGTGAGCAAAGAATTACAGAAGTAAGTTACTTCTCCGCATGCATACTTGTGGGAATGACGTAAATTTGCCCCTTTTTTAATGAAGAACAGAGAACCTCCCTGACGATACAGGGGCAAAAGAAGAAATGGGGCAGGAATGGAACTAAAAGCTTACGTTTAAGCGTCTGACAAACGAGAGCAAAGGTTCCCTTCTTGTTTCTGACGGAAGGCCTATATATTAGCGACTTGATGGAAGCAACGGCTCGGCGTTGAGCGTCACCCCGAAGAACTATCCTCAACACCTTCGCTGCCTCTCTTCGGGCGAAGTACGCCGATCTCTCCGCTCCACTCATGCGCTGCTTTTCATCCTTTTTATCGGCGGCTCTATCTCTAGATGACGGCCTCTTGGGCGTCCTCCTGGCGGGACGCGCCATTTCTTCCTCTCACACCCGACGGAGGAAGAATCAGTGAGGCAGGGGTTTAACATGGAGTCATGCCAAGATCCAAACGACGCCGTTCCATGCCACAACCTATTCACCTTAGCGCCTGGCTTGATACCCAAAAAAAAAAAAAAAAAAAAAAAATGCAAGGCGCAAAACTATACTTATAATTCTTTAATTTTGTATAATGCTTGAGTTTGATCCTTTAACAGTTTAATCTTCAAGCTGTCAGGGAAGGATAATAACATGAAAATTTTAAGCATTGATAAAATATTCTCAAACGTTGATACGTTAAATTTAATTTTTAAAACAATTATAAATAATTGTTAAGGAAAAAATATCTGAAACTGATAATTTTAAGATTAAAAAATTACGAATATACTTACATCAAACTAAAACATTAATTATATAAAGTTAAATTAGCAAATGTATAATTTTTCATTCATGAAGTGTGATGGGAATTCAAATCCTCCCAATACAGGACCTAAATTCCAAACTAGGCAAAATGGTGGCAGACATATATTACTGGAGCTAGGGTGTGCCTTCCTAGAAGGCCCGAGATGGCGCAAGTTTGATTTGACCCACCCCTAATATACACTGCTTTCACTATGCTCACCGATTATCCGCAGCCTTTTGTTCAAAGTCTGTATGATTATTACCCTGAGAAAATAAGATGAGGCCGAATCTTAAATCAGTTTTGACCTGTCTGTCTGGTCTACGATCACAAATACCGTATCAAAGTTTGATTTCTTGGAGTGTAGGTAGCCACCAACTCAATATGATATGCTCTGGAAGATGCTTAGAAAGTGCTTATTCACCTTATTAATATCTTTCATTCTCTGAGATTTGGATCAACTCATCCATATAGACCCTCTAAGTGGTTATCGTTTCCAGTCCTGTCAAATCTAATCCCAGCCCAGTCCACGGAACCTGGCTGACTCTGCTTGTATCGCACACCGGAAAAAATAAATTGTCCTGGCTGACTAGAACTCTCGTGTTTTACCATCTTATCTGCTGAGCGCAAGCCCAACGAACTTGAGGAAAAAGAAAAAAAACAGCAAGTTTTGCTTGTGACTTGTAAAAATGATAATATGCCCTTAATCATGCTGTATACTTTTCTGCAGATGATGAACCAATCCAGCTTGTGATAACTGACATACGAATGCAAAGACTTAAAAGGAAGACTTGGGGAAAACTACGCATGAGGCCTCAGATAACATTACTTTTGTTTGACTCATAGTGGGACCCCTTGCTCAGTCCAGTACATCAATAATCTTCAAGTCTTCCCCCAAGTCATGCTTGGCAGGTCCCACTACGAGCTCTAAGTTAAATGCCTAATTATTTATCTTTCCATCTTCACTGATATTGGATACTTGCGCATTAGCCTTGAAGCTTCCCATCATGGTTCTTAGGAAGGTGAGGGTGAAGCCGCCTAATTCAACCACGGCTGCATTGCATTGAGTTTATATTGTGAGAATCATCATCCTCACTCAGTTCATACCATTGGTCCCAAACATGACTGATGATAATTCACCTGAGGGAGACTTCATCAGCCATCAGTGGCCTTTGGAGCTCCCTGATTACTTGAAATTCGACGGCAATCATTGGCCAGACAATGATCCAGATCAGTGTTTTATTTCTGGTGGGCATTTTCCAAATCAGTTGATCTATCAAAGCTCCACTGAAGTAGGTGACTTGGGAGGAAGTGGCAGCCACGTTGAAGGGTCTTCCAGTTGTGGTAATACCAGTAAACCTAACCTAGTGCTTTACTTAATTCGTTGCTCTTGAGAGATATGTTCATATATACCCCATATATTTCAACGTGTGATTCATCAGTTAGTTAATACTTCCAACACCGTTCTTTATCTTTCAATATTAACACTTGTGTCCCCCACCGGTCGTGTTTTAATTAGGAGATATCACAAATGGACGCCAGAAGAATGATGGTAGAGAGAGATTTGCATTCAGAACAAGGTCAGAGGTTGAAGTACTGGATGATGGTTACAAATGGAGGAAGTATGGGAAGAAGAGGGTGAAGAATAGCCCCAATCCAAGGTAAGAGACGATATCGCATGAAACTAGGGGAAACATGAGAAAATGCTGTTCATTAAACTTTTGTTTGTCTGACAAAGACGTTGTGTGCGTTTATGTAACAGGAATTACTACAGGTGTTCAGAAGAAGGATGCCCAGTGAAAAAGAGGGTGGAGCGAGATGGAGATGATCCCAGATATGTAATAACAACCTATGAAGGCATCCACACCCACAGCAGTTTTTACTAGCTCCAAGGTTGTTCAGCCTTTTTTGTTGGCTTCGGCCACAACTATGTAGGAATTACATTACTCATACGAAAGTAGCCTCCTCTTTGTCAAATCGCTGGCTGCTTTCCTTCTCCGTTGTAAGAGCTTAATAAAAGGTGATCCCCGCAGCTTCTTCTCCCCAGGCCTTTGCTTCTCGACAAACTTCAAGGGCATAACTATGCTGTCGAAGGGTGGCTGTAGAAAGTCATAAAGTTTTGGGTGACTTGCTGTAAAGTTTCAATACAACAGAATATCCAGTAGTGTCAAACTTCAGAAAAGTAAATAATAATTACTTACTTATTATTGAGACTTGCTGATGGTTATTTTTTTTATTCGGACCTCATTGTGATTCTTCCAAGTTTTTAACATTAAACTAATTTAATTAATTTTTTTAATTTTATGAAAGTAGTTAACAATGAGGTAATATATCACTTCATTTCTTTTTTTTTCACTATCATATGTTTATTTAAAAACTTAATTGTAAAGATATGATAAATTACATTCAGGTTAAAATGAAAACAGGGCATATGCGTCAATCTTTATACAATAAAACTCAGGCCCGTAATCAAGTTCGTAAAAAAAATTGTGAATTATTAAAGGGTTAAAGTTGCACCTAGTACATCAAAAATATTTTCTCTCCTAAAACATTCAGTACCTTAAAATATTTTGTGATACATCTTAGAATATTTTTTTAAGTGCTCTAAAATATTTTTTTATATGTCTAACATATAAAAATATTTTTTAATACATCCAGCACCAAAACAAAAAAAAAAACACACACTCCATCTAATATCTAAAAAATATTTCGAGGAACTAAACACATCTTAACTCATTATTAAAAACATTGAGACGTGCATATGTTGTCGCCACGCGCAAATTTCAAGACCCACATACACAGGGTTGAAGCATACAAGACTCTGTTCACGGAGAAACTTGGTTGACTCGTAAGAACTTTTCGATGACCTCAAATTATTCACATTAAAGCTTAACTTCTGCGGCTAAATAATTGGGGTGAGCCTACAAAGTTAATTATTTGCAAAACATGACAAAATAAGTTGTCACAATCACATTATTAGAAATGTGTAACTTACTTAAAATATAAGTGGTGAGATGAAAAGTAAATGGGGTTACAATGTCTTACATTGTCCCCCACCAGCAATGCTTCAGTGCTGCATATCAATTGAAATGGTTCTAACTTCCAACAAGGACAGCAACTGGACCGAGCACCAAAAGCACAAGAGATTTAAAAATAATCATAAAAAAAAAAAGAGACAAAAAATCCAACACAACTTCTAAACCAATATCAGAAAGAGAATTAACTACTGCATTTATAAACAACAAACACACAGCTAAAATAATATCAAGTGAATCCCTCACAGAGCCCTTGTACTCGGAGGCATAATAATGAATACAATATATGGTGATAGATGTCAGAGGCGCGGAAATGGTCTCCTATCCTTACAATAAGCAGCTAAGATTTACATAGCCCCAATGTGGCACAGTGGGTACTCGGAGACACTTCAGGAGTTCTATCAAGGAATGGTGGATGTATAGGACACAGTGCTATTCTCCTTAATTAAAGCCAACATGCCCGGCTGAAAAATTAGTGGGCAAAACCATTTTTGATTTGTACTAAGCTTTCTATTGTAACAATCATCATCAACCAACCAAGTTGTGAGTCAAGGAATCTTCATCATGTCTTGCTCTTAAATTTCCTTTGAGCTTTCAAATCCACCACAATTACGGTGATGTTATCTTTGCTTCCTTTCTGGAGAGCACGGTTTGACAGGTACTCTGCCGCTGCTTGTGCAGCAGGGTCAGCACCCTCTCCCCTCTCTGAGGCTACTGCAACACCGTTTTTCTTGTGCCACATAAGTATTCGTCTTCGAGCTAGGTCACATGCCTCTTCGTTTGACATGACATCCCACAGACCATCACTGGCCAGAATGAGGCATTCATCATCTTTCGCACGAGGAAGAAACATGACTTCTGGTTCTGGAATAATCCATGGCTTCAAATATCTATCACCTAAAAAGTCATAAATCAAGAAAGTGAAAACACTTTCAGTTAAACAAACAAGTAAATGATTATCCCTCAAGTTTCAATTCCATGCACAGGCTAGAAGGCAACCATCGCTCTAGTATTCTACTATGAGTTGCATAAACAAAACAAACATCCATAAGAATGACCACTAATTTCCTGAACTTTTGATTCAAGTCAAAAGTAAGCTAAGTATTGGATCTCTCATGAGCTTTGCTCTGACATAGGCTCCTAAATTTTGACATTGTCCAACTATAACATGAAAATCGGGGCCCAAACCACTGTAGAAAAATAATAAAGTAAAGAGATCCAATTTCTCCTCCATACTGATGTATGTTTCATAAACTGACAAGCTTGAGGGCAAAAGAATCATGATCTCTTGTCAACTGCAAATACTTCTTTCGTTATTGCAGCTACGCACATCCAAACCAGCTAGATCAATCTAATATCTAAATGAGAATTTCATTTGCATTGGCCCAAGATTCAGGTTACCCGAACCGAACTAAACAAATTTAATATTCTGGGAACTAAATATATCAACCTCTTTCTGACGTTCCAAAAGTAAAATGAACTTTAGAAACATCAATACCTAAAAACTATGGAAGTAGCAAATAAGACAAGCTATTATATTCCACAAAAAAGGAAAGATAAAAGTTATTTCATCATGTCATGTGATGTATGAAGATAAAGTCACTATTTAGTGTTTAGAGCAGTAAAAATTCAGTGATATGATATTTAGGCTGAAAATAGAGAGATGGCAAACAGCGGAGTTTTGTGTATTAAGTATACCCAATCTGAAGATTCATGGAGGTAAATAGTAAGAAATTAGGAATCTATTTGACAGGAGGCCATTGATAGAAAAAGCATTAGGACATTTTGAAGTCACATCAAGACCTTCTAGGCTCACTACTTTCATCAAAACATGCTTGACTTCAAACTTCATTCAAAAGTAATACTATTGCCCAAGCCACAGTTTTGGTGTCTTTCATATACTTTTTGGCGTCTTTGGGAGGTTAGGGAAAAAGGGAGTACAGACTAAAACTTGTTCAAATGAATTTGTTGAAGAACTCAAGACATAACAAACACTTTCATGCGACTTCAAAACAACTAGATTAATGCAAAACAAGAAAGTAAAGCATAATTGGTTATTATTATACATATAAATGCCCATAAGAGTCTTTTAAGTCTAAAAGGCTTCGAAAGAAATGGATTTGATACGCTCAATAACAGTAACTCTCCTTTCCTGCAAAAATGAACAAGTATTTAAGGAAATATACGTTCTTGTGTCATTACTTATTTTTTGGCCAACTGTGTCGTTGCTTATGAATTCAACATGATTTTGATTATTAATTAGTTCCCATATCCTGTTTACAAATGTATAGTTTCTTTAGTCCTGTGATGTTTTTGTAAAGAGCTTCTAATTGATTGTTTATCAGTGAGTCGAGCGACCTGTTGTCCTGTCTCTAGACACTCTGAGTGACTTCAAATATAAAACCTTGATGAAAACCGCCAATTACATGTGTGTGAATGAGTAATATGCTTTGGATAAGGAGAGACTATAAAATTTAGCAAGAAACAGACTCCATAGAAAGATAACGCCACCAGTGTCTAGTTTACATTCATAAACTAAGAAACTAACGACAAGTGCACTGAGGGACTTATCAGCTATACTCGCCAAAAGGACTTGCATGACAACCACACTGGTGCATGATAAAGACAATCAGAATAAAGTAAAAAATTTATGACTAAGAAACACATACCTATAGACCTTGACATTGCAAGAACACCAAACACACGATGACCATTCCATTGTATCACCTTGCCTCCAGCTGCTTCAATTCTTGCATATTCATCATCTCGGTTAGGCTACCACATATGGAACAGACATCAATTTTCCTCTAAGCAGTTAAAATTTCAAAGATGCAAAACCATTGATAAAGATAGCTCACTTTATGATCCACTGACAATGCCACGGGTTCTTTGCCACGACACAGAACTGCTCTTGAATCACCACAGTTTGCAACAATGATATGAGATGCACAAATAATAGCAACAACAGCAGTCGAACCAACAGTTTCAGGGGCAACAGGTTCACGGTTAGCTTTTCCTCCAACTTCAGCATCAACCTTTAAGAAACAATTGGTGAAGGCCTTTTTCCATTGATCTTGAATGCCATCCTTGATACCTCCATTTATTAGACCTTCTTTCACAAATTCTATTTCCTCAGCCAAAGCCCAATGAACACGGTCACGACAATAATTTGCCACCTGTATGGTGAAAGCAAACCCAATGAGAAAGGTTACATATAAAAAACACAAACGAGTGGATAGAATGACAAGAATTAAACAAGAAGGTAAGAGAGGACAATAAAAGGGTTTGACCTGAGAGCCACCGTGGCCATCATAAACTCCAAAGAAATGAGTTGTCTGCTGACTCAAGCACTTGCTCATTCCATCAATTACCCTGTCACTGATTAGCATTTGAATAGGAATTTTCATAAATTGAGGCACAGTTGCGACAGCATCTTCCATCTCTGGTCTTCTTCCGCACATGGAAATGAATCCCCAAAGTGGGGCATAATCTAATTCGAAAACACTACGACCAACTGTTCCACTCACCACTTTTTCTAGAGGCAGCTGAAGAACAACCGCAGAAGACTCTGGGCCAGATCCAACTCTAGAATCTTCTTCAAGGCTCACTGCCACAGCAAGGGGTTCACCAACACTTTCTGGCTCAACATTAGACTCATCTAAATCAGCAGGTTGGGCACAGATGCTCTTCTCCATGTCAATAGCACTTGGAGTCTTTATCTCAGAAGTAGCCTCAAAATTGACCGACTCCTCTCCACATATGCTACTGTTCTCACTGACTACCGAAAGAGAACAAGAGCTGTCAATGATCTGATCACCCTCCAATGATATTGTATCATCATCCTCAGTTTCTGGGGTTAAAACTTCACCACCAGCAACTGGTGTGCTTTTATTTTGGGATATGGTATCCAACAAAGGAATTTCTTCCTCCCTATCAAGTTTTGGTGATGAGACTGCAGTAATGCTAACTTGGTTCTCCAGATTCCCACCATTACGATCCTCATCAGAATCTGCAACTGTCTCAGTTGAGACCTTAGATATCGAATTAGATAACAATCCAGCATCTGCCATCAGCTTAAGTCTGGACACATCCATATGGGTAGCTATGTTCGGGTTATCACAAACTGAATTACCTACTCTCAATGGCACTGCAATCGCAGAAAACATCTCCTCCATCAAAATCCCTGTCTAGGTAGCATAAAAAGTTACCCTCCCACCCCTCTGGTATCACGCAGCTTGTCATATTTCCACTAATTGATCACTCGCTTTTAAGAAAGAAAATAATCTCAGAATGCGAACGGTGGCTTTTAAAAGACCATTTTCCATGCCTAAGGAAGCCGATATGACCAAAAGAGGAAGCAAATTGAGGCGATGCAACGTATGGCTTAGTTAAAAGGTGGTGAAAGTGAAATGGGGCAGTCAGATCTGGTCAACAACAATGGATCCGAACTTCCATTTGCGGAAATAGCATCCATAAATAGCTTGTCTAGACCTTATAAGGCATCAAGAGAAACTTCTCTGGACTCTTCTCTGTATACCCCCATCAACTCTCAGGTGAAAGAGAAACAGCCTGAAAAAGAAGACAAGTTATCAGCACAAATGGATTGAAGTGAAAACATTAATAGAAAATAAAAGGCCCTCCTTATCGGTAAACACAAGAAAGAGATTGCAAAAGGAGGTCACGAGAAAGAACAGATGAAAGGCGAAGTCTCAAGAATCACAAGGAAACCCTAAAAAGATGACACCCTTTTCTCACATACCACTTGAGTTTCCTGGATCTGAGGCAACGCATCTAAGCCTCATCTAGTTTTACCGCGCGCGCTCTAACAATTATTACCATGAATCAATGAAAGGAGAAAAGGAGAAAAGGAGTCACCACCTAATTTTGTCAACTGCAGGGTCTTGTCTTTCCCCTGTTCCTTCTTCCCCTTCCCTTCTTCCCACTCTCTCTATTCTTATATCCCACTGTGACACCTGAAACCCATGGTAAGAGAACAAAGCATCAAGAAACGAGATATGGGTTTTGCTTACCATTAAAAAATAACAGCTCAGCTATGTTCTTTATCTTTGATACTCTCTTTTATATCCATACCTGGGTGGGTGAGTGGGTGTTGAGACTTGCCAGTGAAAGCGCAAGAAATGGAGTGGAGAAGAAAGAGAAAGCAAAATAAATGTTTTTTATTCATAAGAAAATGCTTCGAAAAGAGAAAGGGACAATAGAAAAAGAGTCTCGGCTGTGACAGAGAAGGGGGGAGAGAGAAGGGGGACACATGTCAAATCTTGAAGAGCATATTAAAGCATCTCCACCCATCCCATGCTACCTTCGCTTTTCATTGACCAATCCAATGTTCACCCGTTTAGGAATCAAAGACAATTTGAGCCCCTTCGATAATTTTACGGCGTAATTTTGTTATTATTTGGTGAGGTTTTCAGTTCCAGAAATATAGGAACATAGTAAGAGCTAGTATGATTTACATGTGTTGAAACTTAAAACGAACGAACTCGTTCGTACTTGTTTCTGTTAACGAGCAAGGCAAAGCAAATTCTCAGAGTTCGCATTGATTTCAGTTATAAATTTCTTCTTTTCTTTTTCCGGTTCCCGTAAATTTAGGCCTTAGACAAGCGTTAGATTTTCATGAACTGAGGAAGTCGGCTATTAACCCTTGTCGCGGGGTAAACCGAACGAATCACAGAATTGTAATCCGAAAAGAAAGGACCAAAAATGTTGTTGCTGTTTTTTTTCCCCCCAACCACCTGTAATCGTATTCAAGAACAGGAGACAGACATAAAATTAGCGATTCTGGAATCCCATGTATTAATTTCGTTGTTATCATCAAATACGTACATACTCTGTGAGAAAGGGATGGCCCACCCATCAAACGAGGGACCCACCACTACCGCACATAAGGAGGACAGAGGAGAGGATGCTATGGCTATCAGCATCAAGCAACAGCCCTCTTTTGGTGCGAAAAAGAAAACTTTTCTTTCCCGATAAATTGGGGAAAACCAGCAAATATACAAAAGACATGATTTTTTTTTTTAAAAAAATGCTTGTTAAAGTTAAAATAATCCGCATTCTCACATAAAATAAATGGTTCAATATGAAAAAATGACACTTACTGAGCCCAAGCATGCCTCAATATAATTAAGTAATAACCAGCCAGCTTATTTTGGAATTTATATAGCCTTTTGGAAGGAGTGAAAACTGAAATTACGTAAGAGCACAAGCAGTGTTATGAGAATCGAATTGGACCAATCAATTAGGCCCGTTAAAATAGAAACTGGTTCAATGTCCGGTCATGTAATTTAAAAAATAATAATAATTGAAAAAAAAGGAAAAGTACACAAATATGCAAGAAATATGCATATACACATGTATTCCAATGTTTATATGCCATCCATTATCAAATAAGTATATGAATTTAGAATGAAGAGGATGAAGCATTAATGGATGTTACCTTTTTTACTATATGTTATATTTTTTAACTTAATTTCTATTATTCTGAAGAATTATTTCCTTTATTTTAAGTATATATTATTTTAAATATATTAATTTATTAATAACCAATCCCACTATATTTTCATAACATTGAAGCAATTACTCCTGTAGTCGCTAATATGGGATGAGATACAATTGGCACTCTTGAATGGGACCATTTATTTACACTGAAGACTTCATCACTATTCTTAACCACAAAAATAAATAAATAAGTAAATGACGATAAAATCTTGAAAAGAAATCATAGGATATTTTTTGGGCCCCTAATCACAGCAGCATATGAACCCACATCATAATAGAGGGTCGCCTGCATCATGCTCAAATCCCAGGGGAGTGAGAAAATAGGAAAAATAAAGCTCCCAATAACAGGAAAAATAAAATTGGCTCCTTGATGTCCTTAATTTATCATCGGTGGGGGGGGGGGTCAATTGGTTTCAATACAAAGAAACTAAACAGCCAAAAGTAACATTCCTGATTTTATCCCCAAGCATCATTTCATTTCTTTATAGCTAGCTCATTTCCGCTTTCGTCCAATAAATGTGTACATCGCATCAAATAATTAATACTAGATGCTTCTGTTTTAGTTCCTCAATAAGTTGTCCACAACTGAAAACTGCCACTAGAGAAGGCAAGTCTTCCTCAGGCCAACCTGGGCAGCCAGGTGCTCTCAGTTGCACAGCTCTCCTTCCTAATTTGCAAATACACACGGTGTTGCCCTAAAAGCTTTGAAAACGTTGTTCAACTACTTGCTGTACACATAGTTCCTGCCAATTGCATGGGAGCTCAGGTGCTACTAAGAGACGGTTATGGGCTTTTATCAAAGATAAAGACCCAAAGCGGGTGCACCAAAGTTATAAAATGACGGCTTCATTTCGTATTTCACACGAGCTCATGTCATGGTAACATTGGATCCCCGGACGAAGCAAGCATTTGTAAACTCGTTTCCTCAGCTGCCCGTTTAGAAGAGAATTCTTGCATGGAATCAGCTGCAGATTTTTAGTACGACTATCAGCATATTGGGCTTCAGTAAGAAATTATTCCTCAGAAGAAAAATGATGAAAATGACACAATAACCATTCAGGTCAACATCTTCTCATCAACAAGTACAAGACTGGCATCTCATCGTTTAAAGTGAATATGGTCACCTCAAGGAACTGTCTAGATAATCTTTCAAGAGCATGGGTGACTTTTGAGTTGTCAACTCTTCGTTGTTCAAGGAATTACTGGGTCTCTAACTGATTCAATTCAACTTTTCCATATAAGACCAAACACTAAACTAAGCAACAGTACACGTATAGGAGTAAGAAGTTCAGTACCAAAAGACTGGCGAAGCCCTTTCACAGCATCAAAGTTCTTGTAGGTGTAGCCAACAAAATTTAAATCTTTGGGTGTCAGAAGCATCTGCATGAAGTTCACGGGACATCACAAATACACCAGGAACTTTCTCAGTATCACACGAAATCATAATATCAGCAACACATATATGTTCAAGTTCAAGGAGACAAGCAAATTCAAATCTTCCCCAGTCCAACCTCCTAATAAGAAATACAATATTGACTCTTCAGAGTTATAAGCCAATAATAGTTTTACCGCACTAATTATGAAATCAAAATGTGGTCGCCAGGAAGCATGCATCCTTAACAACGGAGTAGTAAATTTGTTGATTGTAGTTTATTTTTTCCTCATGTAATTTGAAATTAAGTTATTATGCTTTTATCCTTCAATAGAACATAAGATGTTGCATAAAGAGTGCTTCAAACAATGAAAGAACATGATAACAGCATGCAAATCAACACAGGCTTGAGTACCTTTCGTGAGGGACCTGAACCAGTTATCGCTGCTGCTGGTGGATCTACCTATTAAAAAGAGACGGAAAAGGAACGTAAGTCTTGTTTTGTCAATCCAGCACACAACATTATTGAGTAAATACTAACAGAATAAAGGCATGAAAGGATATCACATAAGAGATGGAAAAAGGGGGAAATCCCAGTTTTAACTGGCTGCCATGTGCCATAAAAGCATAGTCGTTGACCTAATCAGAATAAAAACATGCATAAGATCACCCTTTCTTACATTACAAATCCCTTCAGTTCAATGGAAAGGAAAATTTCATATAACCAAGAACAGCCTAAACACAGAGATAGATGAAAACAGTGATATCGAGAAAAAGCATATATTCTGCAAGTAAATTTTGAAGCAACTCTCTTCAATTGATTTTTAAAAATGGGTTAATTTCAGTTCCAGCAATTTGGTAGTAGTTTGCAGACACATTAGATGCCAAGACGAAAATAATAAGGAAAACATGTTAAAAAGGACATTCAAAGAGGGGGGTGAAAGAGATGATTTAACATAATACTTCGTCAAATTTCATGAAGTTTTGGGTGTCCAGCTCCCCATTGACTTGTGGTTTAAATGCTGCCTCCATTTCGTACAGTTTATCCCACTCCACACCCTTAAACCAAGGATGAGCCTGAAAGATGCAAAATTTGTATAAGTAATAGACAAAACTTTAAGGATTGGCACAGCAACGTTTAAATAAATTGAATAACTTACCTTGATTTCATTAGCCCCATGAGTACCTAACCTATGGTCAACATCACATAGCAGCCTGCATATTAGATCTTTGGCCTCAAGTGTCAACTGTGCATCTTCCGGAAATTTTAAATGATTTCTCCAATGAACAATCTGCTAGTAGTCGATGAAACCAGTATACTAAAGAATTTATGATACTGACATAAACATCACGAGATAAGCTTTTAAATATGATGATTATGAATGAATGTACTAGCTGTAGCAAGAGGATGAGGCAAAATTGATCAAAACATGCCTAGCATAGTGCGGCCTATGTTATCATTAGTTCAAATTTGCTTCTCTCTTTGTCACAAAGCGGGAGGCAGTGAGAACAATATGCGAGCACAATATCCCCTACAAGACTAATTAAGTATCACCGGCGCTCCTCAAAGTGAACTAATACACATTTTTAATAGAATAAAAACTAAATAAAAAAAAATTATGAGAGAAGAAAATACATGCTGTCCCCGTGCAGGGGTCTGCTCTCAGCATGCCACTCTGAACACCTATAGATAACTCCTCAACTTCTTTCATTCAACCGCCTGTAATAGTTTGAACGCTTTCGATGCCCTCCATCCAAGCCATGCTTTAGTTCAGAGTTTGCTTAATACCAGTGAAGCTTAAGTTCTCCCGTTTGTCTTATTTCATCAAGGAAAGAAACACCCAAGCTCTAATCTCTTTTAAGTTCCTTATTTTCTCTAGACAAATTCCAATAGTCTCTTCAACACTCAATTAACAAACAAATGAAAACTAGGTTTAATATGAGATTTAGCAAGATGATGGAAGGAGAACAATTCGATTGCCACACCTTGAAATTGATTACAAAATCTGGGAGGGAAAAGGGCCTTAGTCATATGATCTCATTAGTTGCACAAGACAGATTTCAATAGGATGTCAACCTCAACCATACCAAAGACTTGCCAATCTTGTTATCCTAACTCAGCATCCATTATAATGGAAACTGTGCTAAGCTTTAAAGCTGCTTAAACAATGAATGAAATGCAAACATACTTCACGGTTTAAAAATTATCATGGCCTGTTACCTTTCTGCATGTCGTTATTGGGTCATCTGAGTAAAACGGAGGGTACCCAACCAGCATTTCATACATTATTGCCCCCAGCGACCACCTGTCCATACGGAAGCAAGTGCACACAAAAGAATATAAAAAATCTTTGTATACAAAGTATTTGAAAAGTAAGAAGGCAAATTTCGTTTTGTGCAACTATCATGTCATTTAAAGCTTTACAATTTCTAACTGTTAAACATAAATCTAACGGTCAAAGAGTTACACCTCGTAAAGGGGGAAAAAAAAATGTGCCCTATCAAGGAGCTTCAAGACTAACAGATCACAAGGCTAACAACAATAGTTAAAAACTAACCAGTCGCATTCCATCCCATATCCTTTTTTCAGCAGCACCTCAGGAGCAATGTAGTCTGGTGTTCCCACAGTAGAAAATGCCTATGAGAGAACAGAAAGACCCCTTCTTAACAGCTATATTAGGAAATGAAAGTAAGTGCAGTATTAACTATGTGCCAATGCCCATCAGCAAGTATTATAATATATGCCCAACAGTCCTTAGGGCTTTCAGATATTCTATAAAGAATCACGTTAAAACAAACCAAGATATGCTATTCAGCGGATACAGGCAGAGCTAGACTTCCAAATGAGGGATCCACAGTTTCAAGAACTCAAAACCCTTCACCTTCTAGTTCTTTATATTCCTAATGTGGTGGATGTACATTTACCCTCCCAAAAAAAATTTTTCCTCAAATTAATTGCCCCTTATCATCACTGATTACTTGGCCCTCAAATGCTCTGATCCTAGTTTTACCATGGCATACTAATAAGCCTATGCCTTATAATTAGAAGGCCAGGAATCTTATCTCAATATTAACGTCTATAATTTTCACCAAGTAGATTATGACAAGCTTAACTTGCAATGGCTTGCATTTTGCAAGCAATATAAAACAGTCAGCAAGATAAGAAAAGACCTTTTTCCCCATCTTCATCAATTAAAAAAAAAAAAAAAAGAACACACACACACACACAAAATCTTGCGCGGATGGATTATTATATCTTTAACACATAAGCAGCATTCTGCTCAGAACCATAATTTAGACCATATTATCTGCCACATCTCAACTATCATATATTAATAAATTATATGACATACCAACTTCCTCCGGTTCATCTGCCAATGCTGGAGTTGTTCACGTGGACTTCTCCAGTTGCTCTGGTTGTCCGCATCAGGGAAGCACCCATCAATGTCCATTGGCTCTGATAAATTTTCATCATCCATGGTCTGATTCTCATGAAGTGTAGGCAGGGTAGTAAATTCAAGAGGCTTGCAAAGGCCAAAATCTGAGAGCTTCATATGGCCATTTTTATCCAAAAGTAGATTATCTGGTTTAATATCCCTGAAGAGCAGACAATAAAAATTGAAATGATTGCTTAGCACATAAACAGTGAGCTGAAACCTGAGCCAATCAAATTATATCAACGATAAAAAAATAGAAGCACAGGAAAAATCAACCTGTGGATGTAATTGTGTTTATGAATAGACTCTATGGCCAGAACACTTTGAGCAATGTAAAATCTAGCAACATTCTCACTTAAAGTGTCTTCTCTCATTAGCAGGGTCATCACGTCACCCCCAGGCAGATATTCCATAATTAAATATAAGTACTCAGCGTCCTGAAATGAGTAGTAGAGTTTCACTATGCAATGGCTGGCAACTTCAGCCAGCAAGTTCCTCTCAGCTCTAACATGTTCCACCTGCAAAAAAAATTAAAAAAGATGTCTTGGATATAAAACAGCAACGAGGCATTTTGCAAGACATCCTATGATATAAACATCCAACAAAAGCCACTTGGGCTGGGCTCAGGTGTTAAAAATGGGGTGGGGTATAAGTAGAGATTTAAGGTTCAAAAAATTGTAATGAAAACAAAAATACAGAAAAATAAAATAAAAATAAAAATGAAGAATCATGATCTTACAATGGATTTTACATGGACCACTGCACTGATGCAACATGATCGATAACACTATGTAGAATATCAAATTCTATTCATATCTATAATTGAAGACCATATCATACATCCATCATAATTTTTAAGTTTAGGTATATGAAATATATTAAAGTTGACCTGGCCTCTCTTGAGCATTTCAGTTTTCTTCAGCTTTTTCATGGCATAGATGTTTCCAGATTTCTTCTCCCGACACAATCTAACCTGTAAAAAGGTATGTTAATAAGTTAGCTGAAATAATACTTGAAATATCTGCTACAACAAGGATGCAAAAAATTGTCCGCTTCTGAGCCACACAAAGAGATAAAATTGTGTATGCAGCTAAAAATATTGCACGTATATCTATGGCAGGAATAGTTCTAAGAGTTCTCACCTCCCCAAAGGCCCCTCTTCCTATTATGGTTAAAAGCTCAAAATCATTAACACATATCTTGTGTCTTTTCAATCGCATGTATTCTGTCTCCTTTCTCTCTAAATCTTTGATGAGGTTGATCCTTTCCTCAGTTGGCACATCCGAAGAAGCTAACTTCCTTTCTAAAATGCAACGTCTAAAATCAAAAGAAATTGTGTCAGGAACTCCAAAACTCATGGTGATCTGCATTGCACAACAGACTGTCTAAAAGAAGGTATGCACAAGCATGATTCACATGTTAGGGGTTTGCAAATGAAAACTTTCCGCATACAGACTGTATCTTCCACAACTGACAACTGGCTAATGAATATCAACTATCAAAGAGGAGAAAATATGTGCTCCGTGCTTCATTTTTTTCCATTTCTGGGGGAGCTCTAAAACATAAGGTGATAAATTAGGCGGTTTCAGCCTATTAGGATAAGACATAACTTAACTATAATGTTACTTACTACATTTAAAAAAAAAAAAAACACACACACACGCACACGCACGCACGCTCCGTGCTTCATTTTTTTCCATTTCTGGTGGAGCTCTAAAACATAAGGCGATAAATTAGGCGGTTTCAGCCTATTAGGATAAGACATAACTTAACTATAATGTTACTTACTACATTTAAAACACACGCACGCACACAAAAGAAAGAAAGAAAGAAAGACAGTGTTTGTCTGAAGAGCTTTAACGAGAAAGTCCATTAATACTATGATCTCATTTCTTTTCAATAAAAGCATCATAGTGTTTGGTATCAATTAATCCTACTAGAAATTGAAAGAAACGGAACTTGTTTCCAGCTGTAGATGATACGGTTTCTATTTTTGAACTCATATCATGGACAGAAATGATTGGTCTAATTAAAAAGCATGGCTTTGATAATAACAGCAATTCAAAAGTAAGTCGATCAAGAATATGGGGACTAAAACGAAGATGTGGTGAAGTTATAAGGAGTAAATTATAATCAAGCAATCTAACTGATTGATTGCATTAGTTTAACTCAAACACAATTGATACTCCTAGAGACCTATACTGCAAAAATATGACAACATGGCAAAAAGAAAGATAGCCACTGATCAAGAGAGGGGAGTCCATTAATTTATAGATTTTTATTCAAGGAAACCTGTTTCGCAAAAGAGCACGGAGATTGGGCTGGGGATTGTCACCACACTAACAGCTGCAAAAGCCTATCAGGTCACTGACTAATTGACAATGAGATGCAGGTACCCATTACACCTCATGAAGAAAAGAATCAGATAACTAATTCGGGGATAATCGTTAAGAATCTGGGTCATACCAGAGAATCATAAAAGAGACCTTAAAAGAGGAGAAATGGTAGTATAGATGCCTCAAATTCAAACAGGGGCAATTAAGTTAATCTCAGCTGTTAAGTCTCTCAATCTATAGAGATGAAACTTTTCATCGTACCTCAGAGACTATATGCCTTAAAATAAACCATCGAAAGAATGTGGATCATATGCGACGGATCGTTAAAATAAAGCATGAAAATAGAAGATAGGTCACGATGCCGGGAATTCAAACAGAGGAATGTAAGTTAATCCCTCTAATTGATTCTCGCCATTTATGGAGATAAAAATTTTTTGCCGTATCTCGAGGATCATATGCATTTATATGTACTAGAACCCCTCGGCCCTGAAACAGTGTATATAGATACTTCAAGTCATTAAACCTAATAACAATACTGGGATCAATTGAAGTGAGAAGCTCTCAGTTATCAGTGTACAACAACTACTCACTGTTTCCTCTACCTAGATTACTTCAGCTACCACTGCTGGGAGAGTAAGTAATTAAATAGAAAGATCTACCAGTCAATTTGCATTGTTCACAATTAGGGGGCACTTTTAGTTCCGGAAACCAAAAATTGTCAGAGACAGAGCTACAGTTACCCAGCAATCACAAGAAAATCGATAAATAAATCCCCACAAGTACCTCTCCTTGCGCTCTTGGATGTTCTTCATCTGATTTTTGTAGTGATTCTCTATGAACTTCTTGGCCGCCGCAACCTTCTCCATGGTCAAGCTCGACCCCAGCACCTCCTCTTCTATTTTCTCTTCCTCCTCGAGATCCTCCATCTCTCTGTCCCGCTCTCAGGCTCAGCGACTCTGAACGTGAGTGATAATGTGTCACCGCAGGTGTATCTATACGCACCCAAAAGCCTCCGCTTTTTTTTTTCTCTCTCTCTCTCTCTCTCTACCACACACAGACAGCGTAACGCTTTCACCCTCTAAAAACACTCTGGAGCTCTTATTGCAACAACGAGCAGATGATGCGAAGGAAGAAGCATTAAAAATGGTAAAGGTTTAGCCCAAATGGAGCACGTCGCGCTATTCGATGCATCTGCCACCGTTCTCGTGCGCCCCGCTGGCCAGCGAGCCGAGGGCCAGGTACATGATGGCGCATTGGAAGCTTCACTGTGTACGTACGTGGCGGAATGTGGGCTGAGGTCCTACGGATAGGGGTGGATGATCACACAGGATAGCAAAAACTGGGAATAGATTAATCAGGAATGTATCTGGCGAGGGAGTGACGGCTTCACGCGCGGGGGAGTGGGGGTGAGGCACACAATGCGTTGCGGAAGGAGAAAGTGTCGCTGTCAGATCATAAATGACATTTTCGCAATTTAGGACATGAAAACAACGAGGAAAGACCCACATTGTTTGGTTTGATTGGACCGTGCTGCCCACTCTCCTTGCTGAGGTGGTTGGTCTTATTAAATTTGAAGGCTTGTGATTGGCTGTCACTGCTCAGACATCCTTGTTTTGTGGGTTAAGTTCCAGTGATATGCTTAGCTAGCTGTCGCCGCATTTGCATGTATTTTTTCTCTTTTCTAGATCTGGAGCCTGCATTTTTATCCTCGCCGTTTTCCTATTTAATTCACACTTCTAAAAATGCAAGTCCCACGCCACATGCCCTTTTCGATTTTTTTGCCGGACCTTTTCTTCTTTATTTTTTAACATTATTAAGATTATAGTAGTATGACTGAAATGATATTTTATAAAGTTAAAAAGGTAAAATCAAAACCTTATAAAATTATATCTGAATATTTGTTTGGATTACGTGCGTTGGTGGCTGTTTGTAAAAGCTGTGTTGCATCTTTTGCCTTTAGATGGTAAATCAGCTTCGTAGCATTGAGCAGGGATTATTTTCTGCGTAGATCTATGGTGTATTTTTTAAATGGAGGCTTATAAAATAATTAAGGAAAGTGCAGACGATAAACAAAGCCCATCACGCCACGGGGTCCCACGTTTGATGGGCATAAAAATCCATGCTTGCAAAAGATTTTACACGTGAAATGCCAGTACTCAGAGCTACCTCCATTTTTTAATATTACGTCTCATCCTTAATATAAAAATTACACTTCCGGTCTTTAATATAAAACTTATTTAACTAATTTGATTAGATTTAAAAAGTTAAGTAAATTAGTTAACTATAATAAACATAAAATATTTTTCGTAGAATACCTTAATCGTCTTCATTATATCATCATTCCTTTTCATACTCGATTATGGTTTATGCAGTATCAATAGGGGTGATTTGAAAAAAAATTGATAGATATAAGAAATAGGTTTTATATTTAGGATTAAAATCGACTCCACAATTAGGTCCTATATTAAGAACCGGAAGAGTAATAATTAACTCATTTAACACTCTAAACCTACCGGCAATTTAGAGATAGCCTAAACTCTAAAATTCTATTCTTTTCTTCGTCTTTTTTTAAATTTATCACGAGAGGACATATTTTTAGAGAAAAATTATAAACTAAAAATGATTATCACATGGATCTATTTAATTCGCATTTAGAAATTAAATAACCTTTATAGTTTTTAAGGCTTTTTAACCTTTATTTTCCCACTCGCTGAAATAATAAATTTTCACTAATATGTTTAATTATTCACAACTTTCCATGTTGTTTTTGTAGGATAATTCTCCAAATTTTGCGAGTAAAATAATTCCTAAAGCATGAAATTCTTTAACCTCTGTAGAACTAATAATTTTGAAAAACAAAAGAATAGAGAAAACAGTCGAATAAGATATTTAGGGAAAAAATTATGAATGGCAAGTTTCATATTAGAACTGTAAGTTGTCAAAAATAAAAACAAAGGACTTTATTTGCGAGGCAAAAAATGGAAAAGAAAAATAAAAGTGGTAAAAGTGTAGGAAAAAACTTATAAGTTTGGGAAGAAAAATTTTGAAAGGATATGTAAGATCGGACAAACTTGTACAAAAGCATGCATGCATTTTAGTATTGACATCGCAGTTAATATTTATATTAATTTTATAAACATCTCACCAGATCATCATCATCGATGAGGCCTCTGGTGATCGGACAAACGTCCATGATCCACCAGTCCCTCTAGTGAGAGGGTCAACGTTGGCGAAATGAATCAAAAGAGTTGGACTAATTCCTCGGAACGTGTAGAATTAAAGTTTAAATACTCGATTCTTAATATAAAACTTAATTGTTGAGTTTATTTTGATTCTAAATATAAGATTTATTTTTCATATTTATTAATTTTTACTAAATTACCCTTATGGATACTTCATTAACCATAATCAAATAGAAGAGGGAGAGGGGGTATTAAGAAAGATGATTATGATATTTTAGGAAAAATGTGTCACTCTTCTTATAATTAACTAACTTACTTAACTTTCTTAATCTAATCAAACTAGTTAAATGGATCTTATATTAAGGACCAGAAGAATATCTATTAGGAGATATATTAACATTTAGTGTTTAATAATACTTTAAATAGGATTATTTTCAATAAGAAAATACCTAGTTTCAGTTAAAAAAAAGAACACTGGCAAAATGATAAAATGGTCTTTTCATGGCATTGCGATACCTTTTTGTCGGGACATCTTTAATTAAAGAATATTTTGATAAAAATCAAACCGTAAAGATTTTTTTTATAGAATTCAAGATATACATTTAAAAAAAACTATTTATAAAAAATTTTTTAAAAGTATTTTTTGTACTTCCAGACACTTTATAAATTACACTTACATCCATAACCACCTCAAACTCAAAATATTAATTAATTTAGCCTTATTTAAAGAATTTATTGCTAAGTACTCTTGCTGCCTTATATATAGTAACAACGGAAAGCATTACTGCATTACGGTCGCGTATCACTTGTTGTTCCGGTGTACTTAATACTTAAAATATTCTTTTAGTAGTGTACAGTATCATAAACTTCAGAGTAATAAAAACATGTTAAAATAAAATTACATCAAAATTATTTTAAAATACTAAATGTTATTAAAAAAATAATTTAAAGTGTTGAATGTACAAAAATAACTTTTAAATATTAAGTGTAGATACAACCTAACAATACAATCTTACCGAATACCGAGAATCATTGGAGATGTTTTGCCTTTTGCGTAAGCTAACAATTCCACTGTCCACCGAGCCCGTACCCAAAGAGAAAAGAAAAACGTAAGGTTGCAAACATTTTTTCATAATACTTTTTCGTTCTAAATATAAAACCTTTATAATATTATAAATATAAGACTTTTATAATATTATAAAAATTTTATATTTAAGTTGGGATAGTATCTATCCAGTCTCATTTTTTTTTTTTCCCGGACCATCTTGATTTACCTGCGCACTCACAAGTAACAGTGCTTTAAAATAAAATAACAAAATATTTAGGGTAAAATAATGATAATAATACGATGAGAGGCAGAAGCACAACGAACGGGGTTTCATAGTTTCCTCCGGTGGAGCCGCTAGAAGCTCCCGAGTTCAGAGCGCGGGGCAGTGAAGAAATCGGGAAGGAGGAACATCAAAACCGATTAGGGAATATAGGCTGATAGAGCGAGGGAAGGAGAGGGAAGCACAAGAAGATATCATCTATGGCCGATCCCTACTACAGCAGATACGGCACTCCCTCAGACCCTGGTATTGACATTAATAATTCTCTAATTCATATACGGTGTTGTTGATATCAATAGGAATAGGTGGCATAAGAAAATAAAATCTTCGAGTTCTTAATCGGTGTCAGTTGGGGAGGGAAACTAGAAATCATGCAAGCCTGATATTTAGCGCGCCTTCCACGGTCACATGGCTAGCGGTGTTTATTAATCGTTCCGACCTGTAGTTCTGAATTGACCAGAATCTATATTTTTCTCTACCAATTACAACCTCTTTTGTTCCTCTAAACAATGCTATTTCCAGCGCGTACTACCGGGCTTTTCTAATTGAAATTTAACAGGCCTGGTCAGCATGATTCTGGAAGCGCCCCTTTTGTTAGCAATTCCTGTACCTGAGTATTACTTTTTTTCCCCGGCTAGTAATTTTTAATCGTGTGTACGAGAAATATTTGATGTTCCTCGTTCGTAGAAGGCCGGTCATTTTGTACCGTATTTTATTGCTGGTCACAAAAGTAATGTTTTGACTTTTCTCTGGTTTCATTGGCTGTGTCAGCAAGCATTCCAAGGAGTAGCTTTGCTGGTTATATGCCATCTGAAGCACCATCACTGGCTTCTCCCCCTACATCAAGCTTGACAGATTTTCGTGGCATTGGATCAGATTACCTGCATGAAGATGTAAAACATTAAGATTATTTAGTATCTAGTTCATGTGATTTTAACTTGGGTTAAAACTTTTCTCTTGGACTACCTGCAGACAAAGTTGTTTCACACTGGGTCATATGCTATTGATGGTGTGGGATCTAGACATCATTCTGAGCTTACTGCAACAGGAGATCACACAAAAGGCTATGCATCTCATGAATATACTGATCTAATGAGGAAAAAACGAGATCTCTCACAAGGGATCAGCCCTGGAGATCCTGATATAACTAATGGAAGATCAGCATTAAAAAATACATACAATGCTCTCCCAAATTCAGTAAGGGATTCAAACATTTTGTTTGTTGGTGGACTTCCGAGTGACTGTACTAGAAGAGAAGTTGGCCGTATCCTTTGCTGCATATATACATGTGCATCTCCTCTGTATTCCTGTTACATGCTTCCTTGGAGCATTAGAGTAGATAGAAATGCTTACAAATTGGATTCTTGTTGGATCTATAATATTTTTCTCGCCTTGATTTTTAAGCCATGGTGTAACAGAAACATTTCATAGACAAATGATGTGCCATTTCTAAGTTATGGAAATGAAAGTGGTAGTTACCTAAATTTTACTAATTTTCTTTCACTGTTCTTCATTAGCCTTGACTCTTATTTACAGATCTTTTCCGCCCCTTTATTGGCTATAAGGATATCAGAGTTATTCACAAGGAACCCAGACGGGTAAGTGTACTGATTAAGATTGTTCTGTTGAATAAGAGGCTCAAATAATTATCTGAGATTGAATTGTATATTCTTTGTGGCTTTTCATCAATCATTGGCCTGCAGCTATTTATGGTTGACTTGGAGATATGATAATGTTGCAGATCATGACTCATGTGCCTTGGGCTATATGTGGGAAATGTGGTCAAAATAATTTGAATTTGCAACATCATATTTTCTAAAAGAATACCTTTAACGTAATGGGACACGACAGTTTCCATTACAAAATAATTATTTCTCTTCTCTATCTTTCTGTTCAGTGCATGTTATTCTAGCCCAAGTCAAACGAGTTACACATTATAATTTCATTGATTATTATGTGCTTCGAGCTATAGACTATTTGGCTCCACCCTGTTTCTTGGAATAACTATAGGTTTTAATTATATTATAATATAATGTGATGTTAATCCATAATATCTCTCTTTACCTGATTTATTAATATTAAGTAGTTATTAAGATGATCAACCATACTGCAGAGTGGAGACAAGGCTTCAGTTTTGTGCTTTGTAGAGTTCGTTGACTCTAAATGTGCTCTCACTGCTATGGAAGCTCTGCAAGGTAAGTTCTCTGTGTGTTATAATTGTAATTTGGGATCTGTCTTTAGGGAGTTAAATATTGTTTGTGTTATGGTTATTTCTCTGACATTGTTTGAAAGAGAATCTGAGAATGAAAATTCTCTTGATGTCTGTGAATCCATTGGCAGCACCATTGTTTTTCCTCCTCTCTCTATGTTTTAAATGGGTCTTTCATACCTGGTATGATTTTTTAGTTCCGGGCCAACAGAACCCCACACCCTTCACCCCCTCCTTCACCCCCCAACAAAAGAAGGAAAAATGCATTTTATACATATATATTGATTTATGCTCATTCAAGTATAATTGCTGATATTTATACAAGTGACCACTACACTAACAACTGATGCTTAAACTATAATATTGTCATGTGATGTCTAAATTCAAAGATGCTGAATCATGCAAGGTTTGTGCGACAAATAAGTCATTTGCTTAAATGTGATATTTTATGCAGGCTACAAGTTTGATGATAAAAAACCTGAGTCACGGGCCTTAAAATTGCAATTTGCTCACTTTCCTTTCCGCCCACCACCTGATCAAGGCAAGCAGCTCATCATTATGCCAGGCTGATTGGAATGGTTATTATGGGTCAAAAAATGTTTGATATTGTCAAGAGGAATTATATTAGTTTGAGAAATTTGCTCTTAGATTCCAGAATTAGATCACTTGCTTGGGTGATAAAAACAGAGTTACATGGATGATAGGCATAGCATCCGTTTATAGGCTCAATCTCTTGATGATCAGTTGGCATTATCATGTAAGTTTTAGTCCATATAATCCAGGATGGACATTTACCATGTTCACAATTTTAAGAGTTGCACCTTTGAAGTCAGATCTAATTTTTTCCCCAGATCACTTCATGCAGTATCGTCTTCAGAACATGTTAATCTAATTTTACAATGCGCTCTCATCTCACCCCCAATCCTCACTTCCAGGCCTGGGGGTAATTTGAATAGTAAATGGCAGATTAAAAGGGTTTGTTTCTATGTATGCAGATAATTAGCCCCAAACAACTTGCTAATCCGCAGTATTCTAGCTTTATTGTTGGGCAATGGATTTGCTGATGCACAGATAAGATGATTGGTGACCAGGCTGGAATTCCTCAGCACCTGTAGGGACTTGCCACTTGACGTGCCTAGTTGTAATCCCCCTAGAAGACTGATGTATCTATCATAATCTGACGGCATCTTTTTTGTGCTCTAAAGTTCTTCTGGCACTTTCTTAATGATGTTGGGGAGCATGGCTAAAACGGCCGTGTCAATTTCTGTCCTTCCCTAATCGCTATCTGATACTTTGTTAGAGAAGTCGGCTTTGGGGAGGGAAAAAAAAGCCTTGGTTCACAAATCCGAATTTGCATATTTGGAAAGTGGAACGGTCTAGTAACGATATAGCGATGTGATATGAAAAGAGAGAATTTTGTGAAAGAAAAAAAAAATGTCGATGTTTTATAAATGAAGAATAATACAGAAGTCAGATGTTCCTGAATAATGATAATAACTTATTTAAGAGTATGTTCTAAAATTTCTGTAAGCTACTCAGGGTATGTAAAATTATTAGAAATCTGATTTCTTAAATATTATTATTTTTAACCTTGAACGAACATTCTAAATTTTTTTAAAAGTATTTGAAAATTAATAAATTTTTCGTAAAATAAAAAATATAGCCTCAAATGAGTTCGTTGTTTAACATGGCAGTTTATCGCCATAATAATAACGACGACATGGTAATGAGGAGATACTGATAATAATAAGGAAAATAATACTACCCCCATTTCTGTTTATAAGGAATAATTGCTAAAATTATGCAATTTAAAATGTTAATTAGATTTAGTTAAAAGTAATAAATGTGTCAAATATATATATATCTTTTTCCAATTATACTCTGTCAAAAAAAAAATTATATCTTTATTTAAAGAGAGTATATAAAAGATAATAAGTGATAATTTATTGCAAAGAGTTTAATTAGGGTAAAAATGGAAAGACAAATTTAAATTTTCGGACAAAAAATTAATTTTTATATTTAGAAAAGAAACGGAGGGGCTAATAATAATAAGAGCATAACATGTGATGTTATAAAGTTGGGTCAGACCGTATGTATGCAAATCTATTTTAACTGCATTTATTTTTATACCACCTCAGTACCTTCTTGTCTTAATATAAAATCTCATTTAACTTTTATTTTGGTACTAAATATAAGACTTCAACTTACTTTGTCTCTCATATATGTACATTTTTTTTTCCCAAAGTAGTCTTTCTAATAATATTAATTTTAACCAATACATTTGATTAATAATGATATTTTATGAAAGATAACACCCATTTATTATAAATAACTAACTTAACTTATTTTTTTAATTTTCTCAAATTAGTCAACTAATTTTTATATTTAGAACCGGAGATAGTAATAAGAATTTGAATTCAAGATCTTATTTGAGGGGATAAGCTCTGCATCACTTGAACTTCCCATCATTAATATAATAACTCTCTAGTCTCTACATTTAAACATTTGTTTTTTTTTTAAAGTCAATTAGTATAATTTATTGATAAAGAATGGTTATATACCTGGCAGAAAATTTAAAATTTTTAATTGCTGCCGCGTCGTGTTTCATCAGAATGCGCAAGTGTTTCTCTCACTTTCTGGTACGTACAAACAGATACAACCTGTAAAACGAGACCAAATCAATGAAGTGGCATAAGGCTGAATAAAAACCTCTGTATTCTCAGGCCAATATAAACAGAAGAAGCATGTCCTTCTTTTTAATTCCTCCCCGTGTACGCAGAAGAATGTCTGTTGTTATCTTTGTTTGTAAGATTTCACCAAACTGCGAAAGAATCTATGGAAAGCAAAGGAATGCTAACAAGGGAATATTCTATATAATTGAGCACATATCGTCATTCTTATCTGTCAGTATAAGTATAGAAGTACAGGATTCTAGTCTGCGAATTTTACACATAACTTTGCACTCCATTAAGACTATAATCATACAGTAGGTAAAGGGGCGAATGAGTCTTTCACAAAGCCCCTTCTAATCAAGATAAATGACTTTGACCAAACAAAAAAATAATGGTAAATGACTTCAATACCAATCTATAGAAAAAAACGAGACTAGAGAAAAGAAGTGCCAGCAAGGCCATGGTGTAAAAGATTGTGAGCAATTAGGTCCCTAGCCTTCATAGACTTTACTGATCTCAAAGCAACATCTGGCACAATCTCATCATCAACAAGTTCAACCATAAGCTCTGGATCCATTTCTTCATTCTTAAATTCACATATATTATGCAGAACACAGCAGGCAGCAAGGATAAGAGGCAAATCTTGTAGTTTCACTTCTGTCCTTCTTTGCAGGCAACCCCACCTTCTTTTCAATCTGGCAAAAGCATCTTTTGAAACTTTTCGAATCTCTTCAATCTTCTCGTTAAAAGCATGCTGTGTCCAAGTCAGGTTCTGCTGACTATAAGGCACTAGAACCCAATCCATTAGAGGATACCCTGAACTCCCAACAATCCACATACCATTCAGAAGTCCTCCATTAGCCTTTTCATAAAGTGCAGATTTCTGTAACACCTCATCATCAGACATAGAACCAGGCCAACCAATAGAAACATCTGTAAACACACCTCTTGGGTCAACGACACCCTGAACTGTAACTGAATACGAAGTTTTCTGATTCCTCTCTGTGTGATTCTTATTATAATAAGCTGTAACATTAACCTTGGGAGCTGCTATTGGGATATGTGAGGTAAACATGGACCCCACCACATTGGGTATTCCTGAGATGGATTCAAATTCAGCTTTGAAGTTCCTTGTTGTAACTTCATCAGGCCATTGCAAGTACTTACGCATCAGTACAGACCTTATGGCCGTACAAACCTCAAGAATCAACTTGTGGCAAGTTGATATGCCCAAACCAAATTTCTGTGATACAAGACGAAGAGGATCGCCCGTGGCTAACCTCCATATACAAACAGCCACTCTTTGCCTCACAGGAATTGCATTTCTGAGAGTTGTGTCTCCTTTCGCGATCGCGGGATTGAGCTCCTCGCAGATCATATCGAAAGTAGCTTTTCCCATTCTAAACGCTTTCTTGAACTCTTGTTCAGGAAAATCCTGGTGGTTACATTGTTGCCACCAAGCCCCTGAACGATCTTTCACCCACAGCCTACGTTGATGGCGAGGCCCACTATCTGCGGCTCCGGATTTGAGCTCTGATACATCAAAACTGCCCGTCGGGATTTCTTTCTCTTGCGAGTTCGCTTTGTTCTTTCAAATTCATCGTGAAGACAGGAGTTACATTCTAGCATGGATTCAGCGTTCCTCTTGAGGCTCGGTTTCTGATCATCCTCGGTGGAGGAGACCTTGTCGAGGTTATCGTCATCATCATGCTTCTCATCATGATCGTCCGGCAACATCAGCAAAGTAAGAATACCCTTCAATTCGTTCTCCTGAGTTCCTTCCCTTGGAATCGAAGGCTCGTCATCGGCGTCGTGACGATGTTGAATTTCCCGGCACCGTTTTCCGGAGGTGTCGGCATTCATTTGATGGAAAGAAGGGCGAAGCAAGGTATGAATGTAAGAGATGTATTGTGGGTCGGCAAAAGTTTGGAGCTTCATACACAGAAAGACAGGGAGAGACGGAAAACGAAGATGCAAGTTGGAACGCAGCTCACTCAAAACACAAGGTCGTCTTCGCTTGGCGTTCAGTTTCACCTTCCAAGCCCATGATTATATGGTGTGAAACCATAGTGTGAACGCCTATTCTAAATTCAACAAACGACGAATCCGTTAGTTTTCAATATACTCCTCCGGTCTTTAATAAAGAACTCAATTATTGAGTTAGTTTTGGTTTTAAACATAAGACCTATTTTTTATATTTTTTAATTTTTTTAAATTACTCCTATAGATACTCTTTCAATCATAATCAAGTAGAAAAGGAAGAGGGGTATTAAGAAAGATGATTATGGTATTTTAGGAAAAACGTGTCACATTTCTTATAAAACTAATTTACCTAACTTCTTAATCTAATCAAACTATTTAAAAGTCTTATATTAAGGATCAAGGAGTATATTATAATAAATATAATTTTGGAAAAATGACAAATAAATAAGTTGAAAAATATGATATTTCAAATCAGATATCTAAGAGTTAAAAATAAAATAAAAAGAAGTGGTGCTTAATCTACTATATGGTTAAATAACTAAAATGTCTTTATATTAAAAAAGTTTATTAATAAGTTTTAAACTGATAATGACAAATGTTGAATAACAAATAATAAAAAATGTATTGGCATTGACAACTTATTTATTAATAATAATAAGTGTTGAATAGCCGATGATAAGAAATGTACTGACAATAACAAGTTAAATAGCTTTTTATCTTTCAAATATGATAAAAAAATATTTTAGTCATTTAACTATATTTACAAAACACCAGATTAGGTATTACTTCCTTCTCTGTCATTTTCAATTGTTAAGTACCTAAATTGAAAAAAGCATACAAAACAAATATATTAAAAAAATTATTTAAATCTGTGTGAAAATATTTTTAAAAGCGTTTTTTTGGTTTTCAAACAGCCCTAAATGTGTGTACCTGGGAAAAAAGGGTAGCTGGCTTCTACAGAGTTTGAAGTGAGCCAGGCTGCGTTATTTGTGGTTTCATATTTATAGGGAAAATTGTAAATAAAGACCGTGGAATATATAAAATCGCAATTTGGGTCCTTGAATTTGTATAATTGCTGTCAGAGACCCGGTCCCAAATAAGAATTATGAAATGTTGATTAAAAGTCAAAAACGCCCTTCTGCTTTTTTTGCAGTCCCTTGTCTACATGCCCTTACTTTATCTTTCTTCACTTTCCAAGTCGTCTCCCTCTTTCTTCATTCTCCGACTTGTCTCCCTCTTCTTGATGATGAACTATACAAATCTCTTGAAGAAATTGAGGCTAACACCATTAGAAATCTCCTTCTTGATGAAGATGGTCCATCTTTTGGTGTTTTTGATGACTCGAGTTTCAATAATTTACCAAAACTGGTGATAACCTGGAAGATTTTGATCTGTTTGGCAGTAGTGGAGGTATGGAGCTGGAAGGCGATGAACATCTAACTATAGGAAAAGGGGCCAATGGTCCAGATAAAGATCCTAGTTGCTTCGGACGTTTTAAACGGAAACTTTCTTTTGTTGAACATTCTTCTAGAACAATTTTTGTTAGAAACATTAACAGCAATGTTGAAGATTCTGAGCTAAAGACTCTCTTTGAGGTGCTTCTTTATTGTTTTACGTTGATAGATGCTATGCTAGAATTCTTAGAAAGCATTTTAGACTTTGAATCTTATAAAAAGTCAATGCAATTTCTTGTTTGTTTTGACAATAATATGATGATGTCTGAACCAAGTTTGATAAGTTGTTGAAAAGAACAAATTGACAAATTCTGATACCCACTTCACGACAAGTTCAGTAATGCGAATAACAAGTTTAGGAAAGCAAATAACAACTTCTGATAAGCAATTCATAGAAATTCGAGTTACTGTGTTAAGATGACAGCATTTTCAGATTTCTTTAGCAGATGACAAGTTCTGATACACAATTCATGACAAGTTCAGTAAGGTGAATGACAAGTTTAGTAAGGCGAATGACAACTTCTGATAAGCAATTCATAGAAATTTGAGTTTCTGTGTTAAAATGACAGGTTCTCATTAGGTTTTCATACTTTTTCTGTTAAAATGATTGGATTTTCACATTGATTTATCAAATGACAGGTTCACAATAGAAAATGACAAGTTTCCATAAGATTTTCATACATTTTCATACTGTTTTTGGCTAGAATTGCAATTTGCATATTTTTGACAGCAACAACTTCTGATAAATATGAAATGACAAGTTTATAATGAAAAATGACAAGTTAAGTATGGCAAATGACAAGTTCCCATAATGTTTTCATACATTTTCATACTTTTTCTGTTGGAATTATAATTTGCACATTTCTAACAGCACCTACTTTTGATAAACACGAAATAACAAGTTCATAATGGAAAATGACAAGTTAAGTATGGCAAATGACAAGTTTTCATAATGTTTTCATACTTTTTCTGCTATGATCACAATTTGCACATTGCTGATAGCAACCACTTTTGATAAACAGTAAATGACAAGTCTACAATAGCGAATGACAAGTTAAGTATGTAAAATGACAAATTCCCATAACGTTTCCATACAATTGTAAATTTTTCTGTTAAATAACAATGTGCAGATTTCTGATAACAAACACTTCTGATAAACAGTAAATTACAAGCCCATAATAACGAATGATAAGTTAAGTATGTAAAATGACAAGTTCCCATCACGTTTTCATACAATTATAAATTTTTTTGCTAAAATAACAATATGTAGATTTCTGACAGTAACCACTTCTGATTAACATCTTTTATCATCAATTTCACTTCTCATTTCCTCCTAATGTATAAAATTATAGCACCAGAACTCTCATAAGCCCCTCAAGAAGCATGCTCATATCAACACCAGCGGCAAATGCACTATGATGATCATATCCACTCACAAGTGCATCATCAACCATGAAATCCCAAATGTAAATTGTCATATCATATGAACAAGAAACTATCAAATTCTACATATAAGGTGAGAACTTTATTCATTTAGCACTGTATTTAAGGCTCGTTTGTTTCTCACATCCCACACCTTGATCGATTTATCCACCGAAATACAGTCATCATACTTGATTTCCACAATTTAGAGCTTTTTTGCAATTATCAGAAGTTGGTGCTGTCAGAAATGTGCAAATTGTAATTCCAGCAGAAAAAGTATGAAAATGTATGAAAATTATGGGAACTTGTCATTTGTCATACTTAACTTGTCATTTTTCATTGTGAACTTGTCATTTCGTATTTATCAGAAGTGGTTGCTGTCAGAAATGTACAAACTGTATTTCTAGGAAAAAAAAAGTATGAAAATCTTGTAGAAACTTGTCATTTTCTATTATGAACTTGTCATTTTCATAAATCAATGTGGAAATTCAGTCATTTTAACAGAAAAAGTATGAAAACCTAATGGGAACCTGTCATTTTAACAGAGAAATTCAAATTTCTATGAATTGCTTATCAGAAGTTGTCATTCACCTTACTAAACTTGTCATTCACCTTACTGAACTTGTCATGAATTGTGTATCAGAACTTGTCATCTGCTAAAGAAATCTGAAAATGCTGTCATTTTAACACAGAAACTCGAATTTCTATGAATTGCTTATCAGAAGTTGTTATTTTTCTTCCTAAACTTGTTATTCGTATTACTAAACTTGTCGTGAATTGGGTATCAGAACTTGTCAACTTGTTATTTTTAACAACTTATCAAACTTGTTATTTTCAATTATGAACAGAAACTGAAAATTAAAATAGAAATGAAGAATAAAAATCCATATTTGTTGGGCATTGTCTGAGCACCAAGCAATCATCGCACACTTGCCGTCGTCGCTGCAACCATCTTCGACTTCAACGCAGAACTCGGTGACAAACTGGAACCCAATTCCCTGTCGAAGCTAGGCTTCAACAATATCCAGCGAGAGTCTTGTTGAGCTTAATTATTGTTTCCCTTGGCATCCTTCTTCTAAGTCCTGTTATTCACTTGCTTTGGGAGAAGGAACAAAGAAGATGACAGAGGGAAAAGAGAGAATGAGAGAAGTTGGGGGAGATGGGGTTAAGGACAAGGAAGTGGGACTGGAGAAGAAGGAGAAGGAAGGGGAATGAGCTGAGGGGGAGGAAAAAGAAGCACGGAGAGAAGGATAGAGGGGAAGAAAAGGAAAGAGAAGGAGAGGATAAGATGAAAAAAAGACAAGGAGAAGCAGAAGGGCGTTTTTGACTTTTAATCAACATTTCATAATTCTTATTTGGGACCGGGTCTCTGACAGCAATTATACAAATTCAAGGACCCAAATTGCGATTTTATATATTCCACGGTCTTTATTTGCAATTTTCCCTATTTTATATATTCATATATTAATTAGTGACTATAAATGGTGATTTTGATTATTTAAAATATTTTAATCTTTATCTCTTTTTTTTTTGACGAAAAAAATCAAAATAACTCTCCCTCTCATGCCCACACACGCACCTATTTTATTTATCAACGATAGAAAAGTGTGTGAATTTGTGTGTATAAGGGGCTTTATTGACAATTTGCATTAGAATGTTGACAAAACTGTTGAGCAATCTTTTGGAAATTGGAAGTGTAAAAAAATTATAGATGTAAAAGCTTTGTAAAAGTTCAACCACCTATGAGTGTTAATTACTTTTCTTTTTTTTTGGCCAAAAATGAGTGTTAATTACTAATTCGGCTCTCTTTGTTCCTTCTCCTTTGGAAGTATTCTTATTACATATTTCTCCCTCTCTCTGTTTTTTTTTTTAATATAATATATTACTTCTTCATGATAATATTTTACCTGTAATTGTGTTTTCCTGTCCATAGTATCTTTTTCTCTCTTTTTAGAGTTAAGGTGTATATTTATTTTAAATTTTTTTGCTTAAAATTATAGTTAATATCAATGATCATTATCATTATTTTAACTATTAATATTGATTTTTTTAATGGGATAAGGTAATAGTATTATAATTTTAAACTTTTGAGGCAACTTTACACACACAAAAATTGGGGTGCCCAATATTTTTAAGTGAAAAATTTCAGAACAAATTTATACTTTAATCTTTATTTATTTTTTAATCATTCGTCTAATCATCTTATTTGCATAAATAAATTAGTTAAACGAAAATATGAGAACATGAAAATTATTTTACCGTTTAAGATCACTACGTCGGGGATGATTTTGTTGTGACAGTAAAATGGATAATTTTTTATATAATTATCTTATTGGGTTCGATTTGAGCAGTAGGCATTCAAATTTAATATACTCCTCCAATTTTATTTATAGCGCAGAAAGAGAGCAATTTCTGGGTTATATTTATACGGCAAACTTTATATAAATATTTAATTTTATTTTTATTTAATATTCTGTTAATTTTAAATAAAAATTAATAAAACTTAATTTTTTTTTTTATGATAACGTAACACATGATGAAAATGAGTTGTAAATGAGAGATGTCTAATAACCAAATCTCATATTTAATAAGATAGGATGAATAGTTATGTGAGTGTGAACACAGGCACGTAGGGGTGATTATTAATTATTTATTTGATTTGACCTGACGTCTTGACAGCTTAATTTATGCAGTCAAGTTCCGAGAAAGTGACGACTTTGATTAGTATATAATCAATAAAATAAACGCATACACGTATAATATTCGTGGAGGAATTTGGGATATTTGATTAAGCCATCTATCTGTCAATTATCACATTTAATACTAATAGTATCATTAGATCATATTATCTCTTATTTTTAATATAAGCCATAATTAATTAATTTTAAAAAATTAAAAAAATTAGTTAAATTAGTTATTTATAATAAATAAATATTTTTTTAAAAATATCTTTATTAATTATGTGAGTTTGAATTACAAATTGATAGTAAGTCCGTAACATATGTAATCGCTACAGAGATTATTAGAGAGCAAAATAAATAAATATTGGAGACAAATAAATTAGAATTTTATATTTAAAATCAAATTAAAAGTAAACTAATTTTTATATTAGGGATACAAAATACTAATAATCAATTGAGTATTATCAGCCTGACTCAGATAACGTGATTTTTCACATTACAGATCCCACCTCTCAGCATCGTGTAAGGATAACTGATTTCCTTCCTTTCGAAACAGTGATAGAGGAAGGGGATTAGGAGTCTTAATCGTAATCACCCAAATTTTTATCTATTTAAATTTTTTTTAATAATTTTCTGTTATATTCCCTCCTCCATTTAAAAAAGGACAAAATCTAAAAATATTACTCATTATTATATTTAGTAACAGAAGAGTCCTGATTAAGGATATTTTGAAAAAAAATTATTAATTGCACCTTAAAAATTTAAAAATATCTTACATTTTAAAACATATTAATCTTTTACAGAAACTTCTCCTGCTAAAGCTCGTGATTGAGAATTTGGAATGAGTTCTTTAGGTATTCCAACTCCCAAACAGCGTGCAAGAATTTCTCCCCTTCCTTTATCTCCTTTTCTCTTATATTCTGCCGTTGCCTATCTCTTTTATTTGGAACCTTGCAAAAGACAAGGTTTTTATCATGTGTGCGAATAATAAAGCTTGTATCATTATATTCTACTTCCCTGGCAAATAAACACGCGGATGGAAAAACAAAAAATCAAGAAAAATTCTGGTTGTAAAGATTCCATACATTTTATTTCGCTCAAAAATATTTTTTAAAAATACTTTTACGTAAGTCGAGACAAAATTCTTCTTATATATTTACTTTATATATCAGAAAATTACTTTTAAAATCATGATTTGGTTTTCATCCAAACACCTCTTAACGTCAAGATTCATTGATTGACGTTTAAAAAATATGATCAAATTTAAAATTTTTTATGTTTCTGTTATTAGGACCTTTTGAATGAAAATATGGTAAAAAATGACCATCCAAATAATAATACTGCGATATTTGTAAAAATATCCTTAAAAAAAATCAACAAAAAGTTCCTCTTTAATTTTTTTGTTAGTTAGAACCACTTGAGTCCAGGTGTTAATACTTTTAATGTATGAAATTTTGCAGAGCACCGATAGTTTTTCTGTATAAAACCATATTAGGTGTTTTTAGCCAATAAAATTTTTAAACACATTTTTTTTACCAATTTTGTTTTAGAAAAAAGATGGTGAGGGACAAACATTTTGGGGGAGAGGGAGGGTGAGTGTGAATGCGGGTTGCAGTGAGAAAGGGAAGAGTCTGACTCATGTGATCGTTGGAGATGACTCAGTTGCCCACGACAAACAAATCAACAGCGCTCCCCCACCCTACCTGCCTAATTCTGGCGGCGCCTTGTGGAGGTTTCTCTTCCATTTTTTTTTGGCTCAGACAATAGGATCTCCTTTATTCTTTTGTTCTGTTCACTCCCACTTTGCGCAAAACACTTGGAAAAATTATGACTAATAACCAAACTCATAAATCTTTTATTCTTTTTAAGAATCACTATTGATAAAATAGTCACTGTCTCACTCATAAATTTGTGTTGTTTGAGTAATAGATAGCGTCAAATATGTTGCCAGTTGTAAATTTACTTTATATGAATGAATGACAAATACTAAAAATTTTAACCGATAAATTTATATTAATAGGTATTACTTGTACAAGATGTTTCAACTTTTGTCTTCTGGTCTGGTCTGAATGGACCTTAAAATTCTTTTCATGCTTTTCCGTGGAAAAAAACTGCCCCGGCATAGAAGGAATAGATTTGCTTTTTGATGGCAGCGTCAGTGTGAACGAAAGAATGCGAGATGTACGACAAAGACACGTGAATTCATGCTACCGTTGAGTAAGAGAAAATGGAGAATTATAATTACCAATAAGTCTGAGTCACAAGGAAACAGTTATTATTTCTTACTTTAAAAATTAAGACTATTTAATGTTTCTTACTTAAAACTTCACAGCAATAACAGTAACAGTAACAGGGAAGCATAAAGTGACGTTTGCCCAATAAAGAAGTTGATATCAGCCCACCAGTTTAATATGTTCAATCAATGTTGGAAAGTTAGCTTTCCTACAAAGTGCCAAACCAGCGTAGTGCAGACATATAATCCAGACTCCATATAAATGATGCTTCTCAAAACATCATGTAAGGGCTCTTGGCCATCTGCTAATACGAGAAACCCACCGCTTTACCTTTTGCCTCACAAGAAGTAATATATTTTAAAACATAAAAGCTACCCTACTAAAATAGACCTCATAAGACCAGGAGAGGGAGCGTCAAGCGAAAACGGCAAATAACTCACGTCAGTTTAGTTGTTGGGGGCATTCCATCGTGATTAACAACTGCAAGTTGTAGCAGATCTTACCCAATACCCACCACAGCACATAGGCCATTCGGCATAAATGCTAAAAAAATGCAACCGTTAGTCTTATAAGCAGTTATTACAGACATTTAATAAGATGCTGTACACATTGGCTTTTCTAAGTCCACACCTCGCACTAACCCCGATGGCTCCTTCGCCTTTCTCAACTATTGTGCGAAGACTGCTACCTCTTGACCCAATCTCCCAGAACTTATAGAAGACGCATCCAACGCTGCTGGGATATGATATGATACAGCCATGTGGGTGGGTACAAGATCAAGTAAGGGATTTTCCAGCCCACTCTCGCTCTCGCTTCTTTTGTTTAGCTTGCATCCTATTGAACTTCTCTTTACCCTTCTCCAAAAGGGGGTCAACCACAACATAGTCGTTGGGGTCATCGTTGCGTGACATCCGATCCTGCACATTCATATACAAATTACACCCAAAACTCAAGGCACTAGGAAAAGGTCAATGCCATACGCGAATTCCAGCCAGGAAATAATTTTAGTTTTCTAACTTGTGCACTTCAGCTATTTTTTTGACCCAGGAAAAATATGTTTTATCTTTTCTTTCAATGCCAACCATCCGCTGCATGGCACGAAGTGATAACATAGCCTTTTCATTCTATTTTAATATGGTGGCTGGAAAGACATGTGAAGTGCAGGACGGAAAATATGCTGAATTTATATGTACTGGGATAAAACCAGTCTATTTGAACAGACTGAAAAAAAAAATGCCTGCCAAATACTCACCTTGCCAGACTCAGGCGCAAATTTTAAGCCACCTCCTTTCCAGTCCGACACATCCTCTTCATTTACAACTACTGGACCATCGGTTGAGGCTGAGGGTGTGGTCTTTTCCGATAGAGCCGTCTTAAATTTCTCTAGTTTTGCTAGAACCTGGTGATAATCCAACCCAAAAGAAGAGAGGGACAGAATAAGGCCATTATCAACAAAGAGTGATCGAAAGAATCTCACAGATGATTGCAAGAGAAGCTGGATAGTACAATCTGAAAGTCTTAAGCTTTGCCTCACAACAACTTTTTCACCACACAATACTTGTTCCCTTCCGAACATTATTTCGACACCCCAACACCCCCGCCCAAAAATACAGAAAAAAAAGGAAAAAAAAGAAGAAGAAAAAAAGACGAAAAATGCAAACAAACAGAAAAATATACAGTGATACAAGCTGTAAGCAATATGCCCTCTCCCAGAAAGTGGCCAAAGTTGCGAGGAAGTGACCTGACATCTAACTCTCAACCTAATTGGTAAATAGTGTGCATCTAAAATTCCAGCCAATTATTCTCAGAGTCGCACCATGTTTCAATCTGCATTGGTCAATCAATTCCTATCCACTATATTTCTTGGCAGCATATAAATATGAGTGTTTAGCACACAAGCCAGAAGATGGAACACAGATAATAAGGAAAAGGAAGATAAATAGTAGAAATCAAAGTCATAGCATACCTCATCTTCACGTCCTTGAACTCTGCGTTTCTTCTGCTTCCGCAACTGTCTATTTTTCTCAGATTCATTGAACAGCTGCAAATCTACATCTGCATTTGCCATTCGTTCAGCTCTTGCTTCAGATCCTATTCCCTTTTTCTTCATGGACAATTTTTCCACCCTAGGTTGATCATCATCAACACTTACAGCATTGGACCTGTCAAGTGTGGATCATAATTAGGTCATATGCTTTAGTTTGAAAGCTGATGATAAAACATTTAGATAATCACAAAAGTCCCAAAACAAGTCATGAATGCCGATGATGATCAACATCCTTACCTGATCGCTGATGAATTGGGGTTCTTTGGACTTGAGCTTCCTGTTTGATAACACAATAAGGTGGTGAGCCTTAACAATTAAACAATCATTCTGAATAAGGAACAGATTTCATCAAGCTGTTCAAGTAATCAGAAGTTCAGTTTTGGACAAATTCAAGGCCACAGTGTTGACAAATACACACATCTTATGGCAGCACTGGAGGATTTAGGTATATCGTGACCTTGACCAGTCATCCACCCAAGAATCTCGAGAGTTTATGATACCCTTAATTTTCCTTTTTATTTGGCAGAATCTCCTAGAGAATTTAAAAGGTCACTAGCTAGTCGGAGGACTACTCCAAGAGCATCATGTCAATAATATGAACAAAGTTAAAGCTTCCATGGGCAGAACCAGAATTGCTCCTTAAATCAGAGTTTGAAAATTTTACCAGCTGAACTACAAGGAAGATGATTGAAATACCGTTTTGCAACTTTGGCTTGGGTGGTAAATCCCCTAACTCTTGGCGCTTTTTAAGTATTTGACTCCGCATTCTGGCATCAAAGTCCGCCTCATCATCATCATCATCATCATCATCATCATCATCATCATCATCAATGTCATCAAGGTTGGCTTCTGATTTTTTCTGAGACTCTTCTTTCTTTGAGCTCAATGCATCCCTTACAGATAACTGCAAATCTCTCATCGACTTGCCACCTGATGAGCCCTGAAAAAAAGCATCGATGTCATATAATGCAAGATAACTTATAAGTGGGCATATGATGTATCATTTACAGCCATAGATTATCAGTAAACTGTGATTGTTTGGGATAGTATGAAAATGACTACTGCTTCCAAGAATTACTCGATCAATACATGTATTGTTCCAAGAAAGAGCTCTCTTGAAGAACCAGGATGATGGGAATGGCCTTGTTACCAGTTCATTATTAGGAATTGGTTCCTTCAGAAGACGAGGATCATTCAATACATCATGACTGCTCTTAATCTTTTGTTTTACAGATGCCAGCTCCTTTTCCTCTTCTTCAGCTTCTTCTCCAAATGAAAGTAAGTTCAGTTTTCTACATTATAAAAAAAGCAATAAAATACTGAGGGAAATTCACTAACATAAATCATCATTTTAAGTTCTCACAAGATACAATTTTTTAGGCAAAAAAATTACTTTACAGCTTTTTTCTTTGAATCTTTACTTTCCATATCAGTACTAGCTTGGATCTGAGGCTGAATTGTTCTTGGAACAATATCATCGAATGGGTTCCATAATACCTATAATGAAGCGTTTCAAGCAGAAACTTGGTTGTTAGCTTATTCCTGGACGTAAGTTTTATGATTCTCGCTTGAAGATCAAATATAAATCTCAACCTACCTCAACTGATAATATTTTCGGGGGATCCAGAGGGCGATCATTCTTATCAGTTTCAAGTTCGCCCAATCTCAAAAGATTGTATAATGTATCTCCCGTCACCTAAATAAAAGTGCTGAATTCAGTGGATCCACAAAATTAACACGAGTAGTAAAAAAGGTTTTGCAACAATATTCCATCAATTACCTTTCCAAAAATTGTATGCTTCCGATCAAGCCAATCGCAACGATCCAGAGTTATGAAAAACTGACTCCCATTGGAGTGTGGTGACCCCGCATTTGCCATCGCAACCAATCCTCTATGTTTAAATCTTAGACGTGAATGAAATTCATCAGAGAAGACACCCCCATAAATACTCTCACCCCCTGCAATATTTTGGATAAGTTACAAAGTAACCGGTAATCAGAAAACCGTGAACTTAAAGCTAAGGCCAATTTCACCAACCATCGTTTAGAAGCGGACATCATTTTTTTAGGGGTGAGTGTGGTTTCGAATTCCAACCACAAACCGTTAAATGAGCTGACCATTCGGTGAATGACTGAATGCCTTATGTCACTATATTTGAGTTGTCATTGTGCGGGGATGAAAAACAGAGGGAATTTTGCAAATTTTCAGCTATACTTCCATTATATTTTCAACCGAAATCCCGAGCTAGCCAATCTCATTTTGAAGACGATATTTGAGAACCAACCAAAAAAAAAAATTCGGGCAACAGTGTAGATGCACGGTCATCAACAACCGGGTAAAGATTCATAAGTAGTTATAGTCGGTTTGATTGAGAAAGGAAAGAACCTGTGCCGCTGCCAGTGGGATCGCCACCTTGTATAAGGAAGTCCTTGATGATACGATGAAAGCTGGTGTTAACGTAATAACCATCAAGGCAGAGCTGCACGAAGTTCCTGACAGCCTTGGGTGCTTCCTTGGGCCATAGCTCAATGTCGAGCGGACCATGGGTTGTGTTCAGCACCACCTTCCCTTTCGTCGGCGGTTCTAACACGTATACCGTCGACATCTTTTTCTACTTGCGAATGCTTCACTCCACCAGAATCGACTCGGACCAGCAACTTCGACAAAGAGGATTTTCGGATTTTACAAAAATGACTACTCACGTCACAAGGACAGACCCGGAACCTGATCTAAGTAATCTCAGGTCATAGGGTTTCCGGTTTTTTTTTTTTTTTTTTAACCCCACCAGACGGATGCCCCTAGAAAGAGTTGCAGACAAGGGACGACAATTCGACAAATGGATGGAAATTATAATTAATTTTATAATAATATAAACTATTTAATTTTTTTTAATTTGTCTGGTGACAAGTGTTTTACTAAACGGAACAAATTATACTTTGGCCAAAAAAAAAAAACGGAACAAATTATATGAATGTCCATATCCCCTCAAATAACTTCTACTATCCTATCACTATCCTACTAGTACTTTAGTAATCCATCTCCCTACTCGTTCATAATTTTTATATTTTATAATTATCCATGCCATTTAACATGGATGAACAGTTTTTGATATGTAAAGTTAGTAATGAGTTGCTTGAGAATATACTTATCTCCATTCTCTCTTCTCTATACTTCTGTACTATTTTCTTACTTGGTTTTCATAACAGAAATAACACTGCTGCTGACAATTCTTAGCAAAACCCTGAATTCTAGCATCTATTGCCACATTTGTCTGGTCTAGGCCCATATATCCGTAGGCCCAACATTTACGAGTTTCACGGGACAACCAAGCAAGACCCACGAACGGGTTCACGACCAGTAGAACTCTCAACAGAGCGTCCATCATCAGGCAAATTACCAGAGACCCAAAACACTGTTTCCTTTGGGAAAAAAATAAAAAGAATGTGCCTCAGTTGTCGTCCTCTTTCTTCCAACACAATCCTTTGTATATAAACTATTCGTATGAGATTATTCAACAAAGTAGTTACAGACCCAATTTAAACGAGTATTGGGATAAAACAAAGAAATAACCCAATAGTTTAGCCGGGGAAAAAATACACCTAGAACTACTAAAATTTTGGCAATTCATGTCGTCTTTTCAATATTAGTGTCTCTAATATCTGCCTGCAGAGCAGAGATTTTGTTCTCCTCATCAGCATTGGCGCCTTCACCTTCAGTTTGTTCAGCTTCGGGTGCTTCTCCATTTTCCACCGCTCGCAGGTTCCCATTCTCAGTTGCGATCTTCAGTTCCCCATTATTCACTGGTTTTGGGAGTTCCCTTGCGGAAGAGGTAGCTAATAGGCGGCTAATTCCGTCATAAACGTTCTTTGCGTCCATGATAAGAGCAGCTCCACCAGGATAACAACGCCCAAAACAAGTAGCACAATGTGGAAAAGCAACCTACAAAATGAGTTTCAAGGAATTCTAGAGTGAGTCCTTTATTGAGACTAATTGCAATAAACAACAAAAATTACAAAAACTAATACCTCTACAAATGCCCGACAGAGTGAGAGGAAAAGTCCTGACTCATTTCTCTGAGTACCCGAGTGGCATTGTATCTCAGCAAAGAGTCTGAAACAACTTGTAGTCCCTTAATCACCTCTTGGGCAAGGACATGATTCAAACTTAGAGGGGCACAGGGACGCAGTTCATTCATTGCCGCAGATACACCTGCAGACACCAGAGATACCAGTACAATCAGTTCGGAATAGACAAGTAGGAGAAAACTAGAGAAAACTATGAAACATATAATAAAACCTTTCTGGCATCATGACAAACACCATCTATAGATGTTCCATCTAAGAGGGTTCCCGTAGGCTACAAAAGACGCTGGCAATGAAAACTTTCTCTTGATTCCTATCTTGAATCTAGTCTTTTTATCTATTCCTCTGAAATAAATCTAATGTTATCAGTAGCACATTAGTGCCCCATTTATCAAAAAAGAGAGAACATGGCCTCCCCAACTAATTAATCAGAACCACAGCATTGTTATCTTGATTTGATTAAGACTACAGAAACCCATCCTTTTAAACGAAACAAAGAAGAAAGCATTTACCATTAATAAAAACAGCAAGAGGTGGGTGTTCCATCAAATAAGAGGGTGGAGTGACGTCCTCCTGAGTTTCTTCACCAACAGTATTTGCGGGAAAGCCAACTGCTGGCAGGGGAACCCATCGATGTGAATCCAAGACCAGCTAAGAGCATGAAGTTAGATGGTTAATTATCATACGAATGTAAGCTACTTGTTAGTTGCAAAGGAGAAGAAAGACATAAGAACCCCAGGGCTGACTAGATTGGGCAACTCACACGGATTCATGCATCAAAACAGATTCAGGAAACCAACATTGAAATATTGTAACTCCACAAGTTCATTTACCTGAAAATTCTCAACTGCTGTATGCATATTTTTTGAGAATAAGTTAAGAACTGCCCTGCAATGCAACCGACCTACATGTCAATAAAGAATTACAAATGATATAACATGAAAAGGTTACAAAAGGTAATATGTTTTACTCTTCAAAAAGTGATGGAAGTAAGCCCCGAAAATCCAGTCCAACCCAACCAAGTCCCATAGCACAGTACTGAAAAGAAATTGAATAAGGTGAACATAAGTTGGCGTCACAGTGTTAAGAGTGTGTGTGTGTATGTGGATGTCATTTTCCAAAATACTAATATGGGTAAGCAAACTTTCTGAATGATTAAGGGGAAAAATAAATAAAGAGGTTCCTCGCTTTTCAAAGCCACTTTATTAGCACAAAGGATGAGTGTGATGGAATACGCTCACCATGCATTGATCCAAAATATTTGATAGTGATCCACCTTCAGTTATCTTAGGAAGCATAACTTTCAGAGTATGGAGGTGCGATGTAATTTGGTGCATTGCCCAACTAAACAAAAGCCCACCATCATAATTTTCCTCACTTCCTGATGTGTCATCAGCAAATATTGCTCGATATTGATTGACAACATCAAATAGATGCATTCGGTGACAGTTAATCATCCCTTTCAAGTATTCATATGGATTTGTCTGATCCAGATCCTCAAGTATAGCTGTAAGCCATGCCTCTCGGCATCTCAAGAACTGAAAACAAATAATTACCTAGTTATAAACAAGCAGGTAAAATAAAAGAATGTACCTAGTAAATCTGAAAACCTCCAGATAAAATACAAGCAATAAAGCTTGAATAAAGTGTGCAAAAAATTTAGTTAAACATCACCTGCAATCGCATTTCATACTCACTAAATACTCCTATCCGACGCAAATATCCAATAATGCGGAGACATTCAGGTAACTGTATTAAAGAAAATACACTAATCAGACATTAACATTTCTAAGCATTTTCAGGAGATCAACTAAGCATGACTTGTTGATAAATTTAAGATAGAAAATACAAGAACCTGAATATTAGATCGAAGTTTTTGAAGAAGTTGTGAAAGAAGAGATTGGGTGATCTGCCTAACTTCTGCAGCCAATGCTTGAATAACAGGCAGCCTGCGCAAGGGGGGAAGCAAAAAGTAAGCAGAAAATTCTACAGATTTCCCCCCAAGGAAACAGCAAAGCTACATGGTAAAATTGCGAGAGATGAATCATAAACTTACTTTGGATGCATCGTTGAGAGTTTACAAACAAATGCTTCCAAATCTAAAGCTTCATCATAATTCCCATTCCTTACACATCTGCAGGCACAAAAAATTATATGACTTTTCAAAAAGGTATTAATGTGTTTATCCTATAGCAAGTCAAGCAAGACCATGTGGGCATTCAAAATACTACAAATGTATTTTTAAATTAAAAAAAAAAACAGAAGAAGAAAAGAGAAAGAAAAACCCTTACGTGTCCATCAATTGAGGAATTTCCAGCAAATCAAGCAAAGTGCTTTGATTGGCTAGCATTGTTTGATTCATCTTCCTCTTCTCCAAAATTTGCTCTGCAGATTCTATGAACTCAGTGCATCCAGATGTCAGTTTTGGAACCTCATTAATCTGTGAGAAAGGAAAAGATACCAGGATGACCCACAATTTTTTTGAAAGAAAAACATCCAAGATGATTAACATGAGGTACTATATTTTTGCATATATTAATATGATCTTACTGGTCTCAAACTTTGAGGTATATATGTAATCAGTTAGAATCAAATAATCCATAAGCATGCTCAACTAAAGAAAGTTACACCTCAAATATTCAGGCATTTGCAACATTAGCACATATGTATCTATATACTTTCTTCTATTTAAATAGTCAGAAACCTGAACAGCCACCCATGCATGACTTCTATTAAATGCTTTTGTGATCTTAACCATGACGTCATTGCCTCTAAGTGCACCTTCATAGATTTGCATGCCTATGTACATATGTAAAACTCCAAGGACAATAATATTAGACAACTTTTTGAACAAATAGCTTCAGAAGAACCATGATGAAGATAGGAATAGTGAACAAATTATCTCAGAATTATGGCACGTAAAAGTAAATCACAGAATAATCTCTGCCCAAATTACTATCAGTTAAATGCAACCAAAGCTCGATAACTAGCATGGAACCATACGTGATTATTATGACGTTTGCTCCCCTAATAACCATTAAGTAAACCTACTACTCCCCCTCATCACTGTTTATGTTTGTTAAACATTAAGGTGTAGCATTTTAAAAGCAAAAGGTCACCATACATATAGAGCACACATAATACATAAAGCAGATTAACAACGATAGAAATTTGAAATAAATACCAGAGTTTCAAGATGCTTGTCGATAGAAGAGACTTCGTCACGAATAGCAAGCAAGGCGTCGGCAGCAGATATGAACGCTCGGTAATTACCCACCGCCACCTCTTGCATTTGCCTCCGAATCCGCTCCGCATCAACCCGAAGCAGCTCTGGTTCCTAAAATTAAGTTTATTACCGACGGAGACGGGGAATATCAAAGCAAGGTCGCCGGTATGCAAAATACAATTTGTTGATGAGACTAAATAATTCAAACAATAAAATTGAAGGAGAAGAGGATGAGGGACCTTATGAAGACGATCCAGGGTGAACGAGAGGAGCTCAGAGACATAGGGCTGCTGGGAGTCAGAGGCGAGAGGAAGAAGGCTAGGGACCGGTGACGTCCCCTCCGCTGCACCTTCAGACTCCATTGTCGGAGCTCCGAACTGGTTGATATGCGAATTGGCTGTTCAGTTGCAGTGTGAATAAGTGAAGGAAACACAGATCTGTTGCGCAAGACCACAACAAATGTAGCTGTGGATGAGAAATTAACAACTGCCGAGCTTCGTCTTCTTCATTAGGCTTTGGAGTAGCAGTGCTTCGACTTCTCCGCATCGGATCTGGATCCACTCAGAATTTCTAGTTCGGGGGACTCAAGTCTGGTTTTGCCATGCCAGGTGATAAAATGGAAACTTCCCATCCCATCCCATTTTTCTTAAGAAAACTTGTAATAAGGTCCATAAATATAAAAAAATCTCTTAAATTAATCTCAAGTTTTGAGCTACTTCATTGTAAAAGATTTCATTTTTTTAATTATTAAATTATTTTTATTTTTTAAGTATGCATTAATAACTAAAAGAACAATTGTTAACACCTATCATGGCGGGTATTAACAATATATTTTCTCAACACATCACAAAAATATAATGTATAAGTTGTCAATATCTGCTGCAATAATTATTAATTATTACTATCTTAAGTTATTAAAAACTATTTTTTCAGTTGTTAATGCATACTTAAAAAAAGATATAAATAATTTGATAATTAAACAAATAAAATCTCTTACAATGAAGTCTCTTAATATTTCAGATTAATTTAATAATTTTAAGAGATATTTTTGTATTTAACAACTATCACAGTAGGTATTAACAATATATTTTCTCAGCACATCACAAAAATATAATCCATAAGTTGTCAATATCTGCTGCGATAATTATTAATCATTATATCTTAAGTTATTAAAAACTGCTTTTTCAGTTGTTAATGCATACTAAAAAAATATAAATAATTTGATAATTAAACAAATAAAATCTCTTACAATGAAGTCTCTTGATATTTCAGATTAATTTAATAATTTTAAGAGATATTTTTGTATTTTTCATATTTAATTCTCTTAAATAGAATCTTATTACCATTTTCCTTTTTTCTTATTTCCTACTCATTTATATATTTTCACAAAAGCAACTTATTTAATGTTTTGCCGATAACTTATTTACTTTTTTAATCATATAATCAAAGAATTAGAATTTTTTGTCCTTTTTCATACCACTAGAAAAAAAATTTTTTTTTTTTTTTTTTTTTTTTTCCAAAAAAATAGAATTATAAGGTAAAAAAATGACATCAGAAAGAATAGATTTATTATTTTTAAATATTTATGATTAAATTTGTATATGTATAAGTTGAATTTAACATTATAAGTTAAAATTTTTATTTTAAAAGTTAAGTTCTGTCATTTACAAATTAAATTTGTAAAAAAAATTTTAACCTTTTTATGTTTAATTCGGATACTTATGAATTATTTTTACAAGAAGATGTACACCTAGCTAATAATTTTTTATTTTAGCTTAAATTACTATTAAAGCTTTTTAATAATTATTTTTTCAGACCTTGTTGTCAAACTGAAAAAATTAGTGACATGGAACGCGCCCATTGGGATCCCGCGCCCCAGGAAAACGAAGGAAAAAGGGGGAATTAGGCGGAGGGTTTGGGGTGAGCTATGTAAAAGCCTGAATCTTTTCTCTGGTCGTGCTGGGGCACTGACCGGAAGAGTCTTGTGCGGTTATCCCTTGTAATTTGGATGAATGCTTGATCTAAAATCTAAACTGACTTACAAGTTATAAGACTCCTTCGGGTAAAACCCCGCGAAACAGGCAGGGTGATGGCGTCAGGTCTACAAGATTCTAAGCAGCAACAAATACCAGTGCAAAGGTTACAAATTTATTCAACTAGAAATACTGGAGTGTCCCCCTTCTGGAGAGGTCTTTCTTTTCTCTTTCTCTCTGTCTCATATTCTGCTTGCAATTCCCAAGCATTCAAAATTGTTTTTTATTTACAGAGAAGTATGAAAGAGAAGCCAAAAAGTATTGGGATGTGTTCTACAAGCGGCACCAGGACAGGGTTTGTTTTTCCAACTCTTCTGTTTTTGTCCCATCCCGCGCAACGCTGCTAATTCTTATTGTTGTATTCTCTGTTAACCCAAGTGATGTTGCTTCTTTGTCCATTTTCTACTAGCTTCATCTGCATCACTTCCCCAAAGTCTTTCTACTGCCACATATTCATCTCCTTCGCCCCAATTGGTTTGACTATTACTAATTCTATTTTTTTCTTTTCTGGCATTTTTCCTTCAGTTTTTCAAAGATCGGCACTACTTGGATAAGGAGTGGGGCAGCTACTTTTCTGTGAGTGGAAGGAAATAATGTCTTCATTTGTAATTTGATTTGATTTTCTGAAGTGTTGCTCAACATTCTAATTGCCTAAATTACTTTCAACTCCAGGGAGCTGGAAGGAAAGTGATTTTGGAGGTATATACGTACACATCCGTGCTGTTGTCTTCAAATCTTCCCATTTCTTAATGCAAATATATCTTGCCCCTTTCTAAACAGTTTCGGTTGGTTTTTAAACTATCATATGATGACTCAATTCGTTCGCTAGCGAACTTACATGCTTACCACCCCCTCCCCTTTTTCGTCAAACGTCCGCTAAATTTGCATGTAAGACTTAAAATTTTAGTTTTTGATCAGAGTAAGTCCAAACTCTAATATTATTCTCTTTCTCCCCCCCCCCCCACGTAGTTTTTCGGTCCGCCACTGAACTAGTTTGAGTGTATCTGCAAGCCACAGCATAACAATTGGACTTATGTGAAAAGGAAACCAGTCTCGTCTGCAACTCACACTATGATCATGGAGTGAGAACCATTCCATATTGGTTTCCCTCCTTAGCTATTCATTATTTTTGAGATCAGTGGTCGGCGAATTGATCAATTATTTGCTGTTTATGCTTCTCTCTAGGAGGTGTTTGGTCTATGAAGATGTTTAATAAGTAATGCTGTTTCCTGAGCAGGTCGGTTGTGGAGCGGGAAATACTATATTCCCTGTGATTGCGTCATACCCAGATGCTTTTGTTTATGCATGTGATTTCTCACCACGAGCTATTGAGCTGGTTAAGGTTGGAAAATTTTCTCTTATATAATGTCTCTCATCTTCAACCACACTTATATATGCACGTATAGCCAGTTCGTTGGCTGTAGGCATTTTGATTCAATTTATTAGTGCAACCATGTCGAGTAACCACAGATGCATTTGATACAAGTGCACACAACATATCGGTGGTCTTCTGTTGTAGTTGTCGTAGTTTTATAGGATATGTAGCATACGGTATTTTTTTAGTGCAAGGTCATTTTGGTAGTTTACTTCATTGAAACTAGCATTAATAGTTCATATCATAATAAAAAAATGCACTTTTGCAGGTTAAACAGGATTGAATTTGCATTACTAATAATTTAGATGTAACAAGAACGAACCCATTTTGCTAATTGCAGACACACAAAGAGTTTGAGGGGTCGCGTGTTAGTGCTTTTGTCTCTGATTTGACAGCTGATGACCTGTGCAAGCAGATCTCTCCATCTTCAGTTGATATTGTTACCATGGTATTTGAAGCTACAGTAGATTGATTTTGGATCACAATTTTTTTTATTGGTTGGCTATATACTGTTGTGCTTTTAATTAACTATGACGCTGTTGTTTTAGTTGCTGACATGTTGAGCAGATATTTATGTTATCTGCAGTGTCACCAGAAAAGATGCATCAAGTGTTGCAGAACATTAGAAAGGTTATCAAGGTAAGAAACTTATTACTCTCAATAGGTTGTGTTTTCATTCATATTTTTGTTTTGGGCTATAAATTCATTCCCATTTTCCTGGTGTTCAGCCAAATGGTTATGTGCTGTTTCGAGACTATGCTACTGGAGACCTCGCTCAGGTTGAATTTCTGCAGTTACTATTTAAGAGTTCTGCTAAAAAATTTATAAGCCCTCAAAATTGTTGTCCAGATGTTTTTCTTGTGATGAATAATTCGATGTGATAGCTAGAAGAATTTAGATTTGCTTTCTCATGAACTATTTGAAATTTCCTTCGAGTATTCTTATCTGTGATTAGGCTAAGGTTAGACAATCAGTCAGTCCCACTCGACATTTATGGTTCTTTGATTTGCACCGAAATCAAATTATGTTGACATTAAATTCAGGTGATTTGTCTTCTTTTGATTGCTATGAGTACTTGCACTAAATGCTTTAAATGGTCTGTCATCAGCATAATACCAGTTTTATAATATCTTTTCCTTGGTCGGGTGATTGTTTGACTAATTTTGATTGATCCATTTTCTTAATGACAACTGATGTTTGATATCTCCATTTGTTCCGTTCTGTAGGAAAGATTCTCTGGCAAGGATCAAAAGATTAGTGATAATTTCTACGTTAGAGGTGACGGCACTGTAAGTAATCAACTTTTGCCATGTTGTTTTGCAGTTTAGTTCACATATGAAGCTCTTCTTTTTGTTTATTTTAAAGTAATGCTCCTCTCGTTTCAGCGAGCGTACTATTTTTCAAATGAATTTTTGACAAATTTATTCAAAGAAAATAGTTTTAATGTTGACGAACTTGGTGTATGCTGCAAACAAGTGGAGAACCGCTCAAGGGAGTTGGTGATGAATAGGTAACTAACATGTCTCATTCCTTTATTTATTCTGCAATTTTTTTTTGAGTAATTTAACAAATTAAGGAAGGAATTTTGCTTGCCTGAACTTCTGCTTTTCAGTGCAGAGTTGGAATTTAATTGGTTTCTTTCCTGTTTATCTGCTTAAATAGTGACTGCAGTTACTCTTTTCTTCTGCATGTGCCTTTTTTTTTTGGGTTGTTTTTTGGGTTTAGGCGTTGGGTGCAAGCTGTGTTCCGGATCTCAGATGGTGCTAACTCTTCCTATAGTAAGAAAGCTAGTAAGGAAGCTGAACCAAAGGCCAATTGTCTTGATTCTGAGGAAGTCAAGGAAGATAATGTAAGGGGGCACGTGAATGGCTCTGCCATTGACTTGTCTGAGGGTTTGGCAGTTGATATGTTTGGAGTCTCACCTTCAAGCAAGAATGAGGTATGGGTGTAAGCTTGAAGATTCTTACCTTTGCTATGTGTATGCCATTTCTCCCAAGTCCTATCAGAAAAATTATCAAGAGTCCACACTCGGGAAAAATAAATAAATACCTGTCGGAACTTAGAAGTGTATCTAGTAGAAATTTTTCCTGTGTTTTCAGTTGATATGGCAATTTTTTTTCCTCTGTTCTCCCCTGAATACAGATTACCTGTTGGTTCTATATAATTAACATAAGCCTAACTGCCATTGCTGTTCCCCTGATATGCGCACATGGTTCTTAGCACTTCAAATTTTTCATGTTAGATTATTGAGGTCAACGTCAGAGGGTCGAATTTTCAGATCAGTGTGCTTTCAAAGGAGTACCAACACACCTGCAAATCAACAGGGTTGATGCTGTGGGAATCCGCTCGATTGATGGCTTCCGTCCTGGCAGAAAATCCCAATATTGTTGAAGGGAAGCGAGCTTTGGAGCTTGGGTGTGGTTGTGGAGGTATCTGCTCAATGGTTTCTGCTAAATATGCTGACCTCATAGTCGCCACTGATGGAGATGCTTTTGCTCTTGAACTCCTTGCCAAAAATGTTGTGTCTAATCTTCCGCCACCACTGCTTACTAAACTAGTCACCAAGAGACTCGAGTGGGGAAACCGGGATCATATTGAGGAAGTGAAGGAAGTGAGTAATACAGGCTTTGATGTCATTGTGGGGACGGACGTGACATACATTCCTGAAGCTATATTGCCTTTGTTTGCAACCGCAAGTGAGTTGATTGCTTCCAGTGGAAGCAGTAAAGATAACAAGGAGCCTGCACTAATTCTTTGCCATGTTTTCCGACGAGTAGATGAACCATCGCTACTCTCAGCTGCAGGGCAATATGGTTTCAGATTAGTGGACAGGTGGCCTGCTAGAGATTCAACTTCCCAAAGCATTATCAACGACTGGTTCCTAGATAATGGTTTAAAGGATGATCTTCCAAGTACGGCATTGAATATCCTGCTCTTCCACAAAGATTGAAATGAAAATTGGTATCCTTTCTTCAATTCAAGATGGTTTCTTTCACTCGCTCCTTCCCTAAGATGCCAGAAGTAAAATGTAAGTTCGTGCAGCAAAAGGCGGGTAGTACTTTGTTTGGGCTCATTTTTTTAAGACTGTTACGTAGCTACCACAGATAATGTTTTGAGTTATAAATTTATGTTCTGGTTGACAAATGGATCTGAACGGCAGAAGCTGGCCTGCAGACTGGAATTGTTCTTCATCTTACGTTGTCGTTATTTTTTATTTTTTATTTTTCGCACCGACTGGGTGGGCATACACATGATTGTCGTATTAGCATATGTGATTGCACCCTGCGTGGTCTGTCTGAAAATGCAGGTGCACATTTTTGTTTAGTACAAACTATGGCTGTAGATTATTATTTTCAATTAAAGAGCCATTTTCCTCCTTTGATCACAAAGGGAAGGGCAGAGCGAGCGTGTGTTGCTGATTTCATGTCTTTTAAACTAAAAATACCCCTCTGTTCTTAGTTCTTACAACTCAAGCCTCTCTGAAACAAACATATGAAGCAAGGACCCCTTTAGCCAACAGAATCGCTTGTGGTTTCTTTTGACCTAAATTAGGCCCTGTATTTGATTTTCATTATTGAGAAACAAAACACACACATGTTCGGTCCAAGCAGTTTCTTAATGGGTTGTAACACAAAATAATCTAAAAATGAATTATGCTTCTTACTCTGGTCTTGTATATTTGCGCAGGAAATGGCTATACTTCATTTTGATTACCAGAAGTCAGCTAAAACAGGAACCTCTAGGCCAATACTTCTAGGCTAGGACCACAAAGACCAGTTTTTAAACTGGCAAAAGTGGCTTTACTTTGATGGTTAAGGCTTATACCCCTATCTGTGTAATGTCCGTTCAGCGATCCCATTTGGATATGTTCAATGCGTCCTTTCGGATTTTCCCCCTTCTGCTCCGTTTCCTTGGGGGATAAACAAGTGGGGTAAAAAAAGAAATTCGGGACTTAAATATAGAAATTAAGTATAATAATCAATCTAATATAAATACTACTAGTTTATAATTGAACATTACTTTTGGATTTAAATGGTTATAGACATCAAGATTCTAATATCTCCCAAGATATTACCTTCTGTCCTAATTATAAGAGTCAGTTGACTAATTTGAGGAGATTAATAAAGTAAGTTGAGTTAGTTATTTGTCTTAAATAGGTGTTGTCTTTCTTAAAATATCCTTACTAATCAAGTGTATTGACTAGAACTATTATTGTTAGAAGGGTTACTTGGAAAAAAAAAATATAAATATGAGAGACAAAGTAGATTGAGATCTTATATTTAAGACCAAAATAAAAGTCAAACAGAGTCTTATATTAAGGACCGGAGGTAGTACTATTATAATCAGGTTGCCACATGCAAGCGAAATGGGAATGAAATTCAAAAACCCAACCATTTGCTCAAGTGATACCATCCACATGACTCACTCTAACTTGAGTTGATAATAGTTTTAGCTCTTTTAGTGTGATTTATTTTCAACCAAGGGATTTTAACACGCATTGTTATCTAAAGAATTCTTTTAGATAAGTGTATTATGATTGATTAAATATTTTATAGGTATAGCCTCATTATATTCTTTAAATAAATAAAGATCATAATCATTCAACAATGAATATTCACTTACTTCATATGTACTTGGTTAATAAAATATATGAACCTTCAGAAAATAGCTTTTCAAATAAACCAACAAGAATAATTAACAACGTTGTGTTATGTTGCACAAATAAGAGGCGCTTGCACGACACGATCCAGTACATTAGACATGGCAATTTTAAAAATTTAATGTATGGATATGAAAAGCATGTACATATTTAATTGTGTTATCTCCTATCCTAATTAAAAGACCTCTTTTATAGATTATAGAAGAGGTCTTATAATTAGGATCCAAGGTAGTATATATGCACCAAATTAAATCATAAAAATAATACTCCTCCGGTCCTTAATATAGGATCCAATTCTTGAGTTGGTTTTGGTCTTAAATATAAGACCCATTTCTCATATTTATCAATTTTCTCTAAATTACCCCTATGGATACTCCCTTAACCACAATCAAGTAGAAGAGGGAGAGAGGTATTAAGAAAGATGATTATGGCGTTTTAGGAAAAACGTGTCACTTTTCTTATAATTAACTAACCTACCTAACTTTCTTAATCTAATCAAATTAGTTAAATGGGTCTTATATTAAGGACCGGAGGAGTATGACAATTGTTGGATTTGAAATTATTTTTTAAAAAGTGGTATAAAAATATTCACGCGCAATTAAAGAATTGAGTTTGTTTAATACGCTCTTAAGTTGTCCTGGAGCATTTCAAACCAACAAAAAGAACCAAAAACAAAAACAAAAACAACGATGCCTGTGTCAAAATGTGCTACGTGTATCATGAAATACGATATGCGTGTTGTATCATATGATTCAAGTACATTTGTTTTTCTTTTCCTGAGGTAAAATAAAAGTAGTACATTTTTCTGAAATATCCATAAAAATAATGTATCTATACAAATATAGAGATGATATCAATGGCTAATTCATATGGCAAAGATAAAGTTTAACATTAGTAAAAATTTAAGATTCAAAGCCTACTGATGTAAATAAAAGGGGGGAAGTTGACTTCCCTCTAATATTTCATCGTGATGATATGATTCTAAAGATTAGATTAGAAATAACTCAGTATTTCATGTCAAGTTTTATAAAAATTAAATAACTACTGATATGCACTATTAAAAAGTTAAAAAAAAATCATATTTCAAATATTTATTCGATAAAATTTAAATAAGGTGTTACCGTATAAATAAACACCCACATTTAAGAAAATGATATTTATAACTAGTCCTATGATCTGAATGATCGAGTTTTAATTTCTAAAATTTTCATCCCATATATTTACGCCCAATATTATTGGATGTTATAAATTTAGTTTTAGCGGGGAAAAAAAACTTGCGTCCAGTTCTTTATATAAATTATGCCAAACTTTCCAATCATATAGGGCCATATGTCTTTTTTTAGTTCCATATAAGTTTCTAATTAAGTGATAATATTTAAAAAATATGACATGTATCCATGTGTGATTAGAGAACTTATACATAATAGATATAAAAAACTTGACATAGGTATTGTACAAATATATTTGACCAATCAATTGACACCTCCTCTCTCACACAAGTATATGTATGAATCTAATCAACGTCATATGTTAATGTAAAAATGCAAAAAAATTCTTTATAATTAGTTCAGCTTACATCAATGTAAAATATAAGAACCATATCAAGTAAGTGGTATAACTTTGTCTTGAACTATGAGCAAATACATGGGATCCACTCTAATTGTTAAACAGCAGTAAAAATATAAGCCTTAAAAATTTCTCGTATTTTAGAAGGTATATTTATCAAAGGATGGGTTTGATGAGATGAATTCTTTTGTGTATTTTGAAGAATGTTGAAAGGTAGAGCATATTTTCCTCTTTAAATATGAACTAAATATATAAATCGAAAACACTGCAGAAATGGTCTCATGACATGCAAAATTACCTGTCATTTTAAAGATAATTGGTCTAAGACTTGCATGTTCCTATATCCTATGTGATAATAATGGTTTTGTTTTATATGTTGGGAGCTTGGGAATCGTGGGAAATGTGTATTGTAAACATATTAATGGAGCTTTTGCTCGATTGATTTTGAAATTGACAACATCAATTTAAAAGTAATAATTTTTTTCCCATGGGGCGTGGAGCTGTATTTGGTATGAATTACCGAGAATGAATGATATCAATGAAAGTAAAAGAAGTTATAAAATCCACATGTCTCTGTCAAGACTGACTCATTGTAAAAGCTTAAGCCTTTAAGACGCTTTAACTTTCACTCATTTTAAAGAGGAACAAGCCAACGTGATGGACATTGGACAACACGGGGGAAAGATGATCAGATCAAGAACAGGCCTTCTGTGATCCACAGTTAATGAAGCTTTCTGTCTCAGTCATGCACAGGCCCCAGGTAGGGATGGAGGCAGATCCAAGCAGAAAGCAAGAAGAATATAAATTTAATTTATATATCCGCCATGGCCTTGCTTGAGCAAAAAAAGACCCTTCATATATTTGTCATTTGCTGTCCCCAGCTGCAGGTGAAAGCGATATCGATTATATTCTGGCAAGCAAATTAGTTTTATCCGATACAGCAATCCAGTCTTGACTATGGAACTTAACGGCGAAGCAGTGAGAAAAACTAATTAAAAAGCCTACTCTTCTGATCAATTTTTTTCTTAAGGCGTGAAACTCAAATAGTTAACACCAACAAGGAAAATAAAGATTCATGTGTGTGTGTCTGATATGACTGCACATAGTAATCCAATCTTAACTATGGAACTTAACGGCGAAGCAGTGAGAAAAAACTAATCAAACAGCCTACCCTTCTTATCAACTTCTTAAGGCGTGAAACTCAAAATAGCTAACAACAATAAGGAAAATATAGATTCATGTGTATCTGATATGACTGCACATATTCAAAAGTTAAAGATGAATAACTATGAGTGATCAGCGAAAACATGTATATAAGATCAAAATTCATCAATCACAACAAGAGATCAACCTCTTGGATCAATAGGGAGGCACTTATTAGGTCCTGCATCAAGTAAATCTGCCTGGGTTAGAAATTAAACATGCTTCTATATACAGCAAGAGGCAATAAGAAGAACCTAATTATTAAGATCAACAGCCATAAAACACATAATTATGATAAGCTGTATGGTGTAATTGGCTATCAAACCATCCTACATGGAGTATATGCAGATTAATTTCACATATATGCAACATATATCATGACCAGCAACGTTAGGGTTAGGCATAGGGATAGGGATAGGGAAGTTCTACCAATATTAGAGAGAGAGAGAGAGAGAGGTGGCGGTGTGACAGATAGAGAGTGAGCACGCATAGTTTCAAGCATAAACCATGCAAGAAAGGACCATGTGTGCTCACTCTCTTCTGTCACCTCCCTTACCCTTCAAAGTCTCCTTTCGAAATTTCATTTGCAGTTAGCTCATCGATCCACCTGCAGCAAACCTCCAATAAAATCATTTCTGAAAAGAGTTCAGGGATTAATTGGGGGAGATAAGTCCCTCGTTCATTCCCTTAAACCCAAAATATGTATGTTGCATTTCTATGGAACACTTGCATAGAATGTTGCTGTGCGAAGAGGACATGAGGATGGTGGGGTTTATATAGAGCTAGCCCCAGGGACA